AATCGGCCAACCACTGAAGGCTTGGTTCCTGAATGGGACAGGTTAAAGCGCCGTGGGTTGTCTGATGCAGTGATCAGAACAATACAGGGCGCAAGAGCCGGTTCCACTTCTAGGGTGTATACCAGCAGATGGAACGTTTTCTCACGATGGTGTGATACACAGGACGTGGACCCCATGAGCTGTCAGGTAGAGAGTGTGCTCTCATTCCTACAGTCTATGTTTGATAAGCAGAAATCGCCCTCCACTATTCGAGTGTTTGCAGCGGCAATTTCAGCTGGTCATGAAGGGTTTAACGGAAAAAGTGTGTTCAGTCACCCATTAGTGAAACGTTTCCTATTGGGAACGCAACGGCTTAGGCCAAGGCCTAGAGCTACGCTGCCCAAGTGGGATTTGGCACTGGTTCTCGAAGCACTATGTAAGTAGCCGTTCGAGCCATTGAATCAAATACCCCTCAAGTTGCTGTCTATCAAGACGGCGCTGTTGCTCGCCTTGACTACCGCTAAACGAGTCAGTGATTTGTGTGCACTGTCGACGAGACCCGACTGCCTTGCCATTAATGGCGATTTGAGCAGAGCGGTGTTACGTCCTAACCCGGCATTTGTGCCGAAGGTTATTAACAGTGCATATAGATCACAGATCGTGGAATTGTGGGCTTTTTATCCCCCTCCCCATGGGGAGAGGAGTGAGGAAAAGCTTCACTGTCTGTGCCCAGTACGTGCTTTGGCGTGTTACGTTAGGCGCACAGCGGCGGTTAGATCATCGCCTCAGCTGTTTGTGTGTCACGGTGCGGCTGCATTGGGTAGACCACTTTCAAAACAGCGTTTGTCTCATTGGCTTTGTGAAGGCATTGAGACGGCGTACGAGGCGGCGGGGCAACAACCGCCTCAGGGTATTAGAGCGCACTCCACTCGTGGAGTGGCAGCTTCTACTGCCCTCTTCAGAGGAACAGAGGTAGAGGATATTTGTAGAGCAGCGTCATGGTCGACACCGTCTCCTTTTATCCGTTTCTATCTGTTGGATATGTCTTCTAACTCTTTGGCTCGGTCTGTACTCAGCGTGGCTGAAGGGAGATCATGAGCAGAATAGAGAGGGAAAGCAGGATTGTGACCATGTTCATAAGTCCGCTTTTATTAGAAGTAACATATTATGGACATGTTTTCTAACTCTTTTGTTCGATCGAATTTCAGCAGAGCTGAAAGGCGTTCTTGAGCTAGAAAGAGAGGACAAAGCAGGACCTTGGACAGGTTCCAATCAGGTCCGCTTTGGTTAGGAAGACTTATGTCAAGGATAAGCCTTTTAACTCCAATCTCGATTGCACTCAGCACAGCTGAAGGAGAATCTTGAGGTAGAGGAGGGAGAAGCAGGATGATAGACTGGTCTCTATCAGGTCCGCTTTGGATGAAGAGCATATTCTGTGGCATGTCTCCTGGCTGACAGTGTCAGCATGTAGAAACATGTATTGAGTGGACAGAATGTGAGGTCATCTATCTGAGGTTCAGTTTAGTATGACTGGTATATTTTGTCCCTGCCTACTAATCTCTGGGTTCCATTGAGTGAGTAAGGCGGGCTATTGGACACATAATGTAGAGTGACATTTTATGTCATTCCATTAGTGGATAATAGTGTTGTCATAGAATATTGAGGCACGGCTATCTGCTAGTACAGATTAGCACGGCGTCTATTCTATTGATCTGCCCAATAGCCATTGACATTGTCATTGAGCTAGATGGGGCGGGTCTATAACCGATGACGCGGTATATTGTGACGCCCTAATGGGTTTTTTAGTCGCAGTACTGCGGGAATTGGTTGCAGCCATTGCTGGGCTTGACCTTTTTTCATTTTTTAATGAGAAGTGTTAGGCTCGGCAGGGAGTACATTTTGGAGCGTTTCGCTCCGCCTTAAACCACTAGGAGCAGAGCTCCCCTATGGGGCGGAGCGCCACGATATAGAACGACTAGTTACCGGAGTGTAACTCCAGTTCTATGAGTGGAGCGGAGCCCCATAGGGGAGCTCTGCTCCTAGTGGTTTACCCTCTGCCCTAGGGCAGAACAGCCTGAAGCAAAATTATGCACACACCTACAGCCAATAGGAGTACAGGTGTCCCTATATAAGGAACCCCGTTCCCTCAATCTGCCTCCCGAGATATTATCTTCAGCGAGACTAGAGAGGGTCGGTAGGGCCTTAAGTCCTATGGGGCTCCGCTCCACTCATAGAACTGGAGTTACACTCCGGTAACTAGTCGATTAATGACTTTTCTGGTAGGCTGATTACCGTATATTTTAAGCAGCCGTGTTGCTGCAACTTTAGGTTTACGCGCTTACTGCCGTGTTACAGGCACTTTATTTTGCACTTTAAAAAAACACATTTAATTTAGCCATTGATATTGCCTCGTCAAGCGCTGTAAGCTTTGTTTTTTGTTATGGTACTACTGTAGGCTATAATGTAGATAAATATTCAAAGATGTGCACACTTTTTCAAGGTTTTTCAAAAATAACCAAAGTTAAGTGGTTAAATGATTGTGACGCTATTAACTAATTTTGCTGGAATACGTTATAAAAATATGCAACTTGTTTGTTGAAATGTTAATAAATGGGAGCTTCCTCAAGCAGCCATCTCTTTCCCGACAATCCCCTTTGTGCACGAACCCTTACATATGGTAATTAAACATTAAAACACCTGCGGCTTATAGTCCAGTGCGGTTTATATATGTACACATCATTCAATTTAGCTGCTGCGGCTTATACTCCTTATACTCCTTATAGTGCGGAAAATACGGTAATAATAGTTAATATGGTGCTCATCAATGTCACAGGTTTGTGGCATTGATGAATAAATCATTGAATGAATACTTAAATTCAGATGTTTATATGTTATGTATAAAAAGCATATGTATGCATTGTTTACTATTTTGATGTATTTAAAACAATGTAATTGTTGGAGTTCAGGTGTTTGATGTGATTGATGGGTGACTAGGTGCATTCTTATTCATGATTATGGATACATTCTGCAATGAGTTCATCTGGCATTGAATCTGCAACAGAACATGTCAACAAGTTAGTTCTGAATTGCTTTAATACAGTGGTGCATTCTGACACCATGAATTGAAATAGATTTCACTTGGTTCATACAGTAGGCAGAAATGATAAGGGATTAAATATAGACCTCCACCGGCTGAAGGAGAAGAGGATCTGGTAAAATAAGGGTGTCGCTAATATCATGTAGGTAGTCTTTTTACACAAAAAAATAGCCTATTTTTTCATGGCATGTTATAAATATAAAGTATTCTGTACAAGACAAGACCAAATGCCTAAAAAATGCAAATATTAGTTAAATAAAAATATGGGACAGTAAATTAAAGTGTTCAATATATATTTTGTTTTGGATCAAGGTAGCTAGTAGCTAGCTAGATGACAGCGAAGGTGTCAGCTAGAGAAGACGTGCAGGAGCTAGCAGGGATTTGTAGTCTTGCATGATGTCTACTTTGATGCTAATATATACTGAACAAAAATATAAACGCAACAATTTTAAAGATTTTACTGAGTTACAGTTCAAATAAGGAAATCAGTCAATTGAATTAATTTCATTAAACCCTAATCTACGGATTTCACGACTGGGCAGGGGCAGAGCCATGGGTGGACCTGGGAGGGCATAGGCCCACCCATTTGGGAGCCAGGCCCAGCCAATGAGTTTTTCCCCACAAAAGGGCTTTATTACAGACAGAAATACTCCTCAGTTTCATCAGCTGTCCGGTAGGTGAAGAAGCTGCATGTGGAGGTCCTGTTTTGGCGTGGTTACACGTGGTCTGCGGTTGTGAGGCCAGTTGGACGTATCATGTCAAATTCTCTAAAACGACGTTGGAGGTGGCTTATGGTAGAAAAATGAACATTCAGTTCTCTGGCAACAGCTCTGGTGGACATTCCTGCAGTCAGCATGCCAATTGCACGCTCCCTCAAAAATTGAGATATCTGTGACATTGTGTCTGTGACAAAACTGCACATTTTAGAGTGAGTGGCCTTTTATTGTCCCCAGCACAAGATGCACCTGTGTAATGATCATGCTGTTTAATCAGCTTCTTGATATGCCACACCTGTCAGGTGGATGGATTATCTTGGCAAAGGAGAAATGCTCACTAACTGGGATGTAAACAAATGTGTGCACAAAATTGGAGAGAAATACGCTTTTTGTGTGTATGGAAAATTTCGGGGATCTTTTATTTCAGCTAATGAAACATGGGACCAACACTTTACATGTTGCGTTTTATATTTTTGTTCAGTATATATATTGATAAAAGTCACCTTGTCCGAGAGAGATTTACACAGTTTTCAAAACGTCACGCCAGGGTAAGCCTACACGAAACTCATTCTAAAATCCACAATGGACAAAATGTATGGAGCAGCAGTAAAATCACAATAGCGAGGCTATATACAGGGGGTACCGGTACCGAGTCAATGTGCGGGGGCACAGGTTAGTCGAGGTAATTGAGGTAATATGTACATGTAGGTAGAGTTAAAGTGACTATTCTTAAATAATGAACAGAGAGTAGCATCAGCGTAACAGAAGGGGGGGGGCTAGATTTGGCGCTCCGGTACCGCCTGCCGTGTGGTATCAGAGAGAACAGTCTATGACTAGGGTGGCTGGAGTCTTTGATTTATAAGTGTTCAAAAATCTGAGTCCAAAGGAGGGCACTGCCCCCCTACGAGCCTCCCCCGGCCGTACTCAGAAGCACCACCTTGTTAAAACATCCATTGGCAGACGTTGTACAGTACACCATTGGAAGATTTTTATATGCACTAAAATAGGGTTATTTTGGTTTTGTACACAGCCATACGATATGTGGTATAGAAAAGTGCCATCTTAGTAGAGTACATGGGGAGCTATATCTCTGCAGATTATCTGTCTATCTGGTAAAAATAACGGATACAGGTCCCCCTACAGCTAACTTTTTGCTTTGTTTTTAGCTGTTCTTCAACTCCGCTATCCCTGTGGTTGTTGGGATAAGATACTGCCTGGACGTGATCTTCGTGTTGAACATCATCTCACGCTTTTACATTGGATATGAAAGTAATGGTGTAGTCATCATTGATTCCAAACCAGTGCAGAGAAAATATCTCCGAACATGGTTTATCATGGACCTGTTGGCTGTTCTTCCCTTTGAGACTCTGAGATATGCTTCGCCTGAATTGCATTTTATGCATATCAATCGATGTCTAAGAGTCTTACGGCTGTTTGACATAATATGTAAGTTTCTTGATTTCATTTGATTGTTTTATTGTACAATAATGATGACAATAATCACTACTGTATTTGTAAACCACCTAAAGCCCTAACTAAAAAAAAAAAAAGAATGGTACATGTTCATGATTAACATAATGACAACAAGATAAAATGACAGAATCCTATTTACTGTGGCAAAAACAGCTAGCTTAATTTATATTGTAAAAATTATTCCAAAACTGCCAATTAATCCAATCTTAACCTTAACTGTCTCATATTGTTTCAATTAAGCGTCCTTTGGAAAAGAACCTGACACCAACAAGATACATGTTGCAGTCCTGAAATCCTTTTCTATTGTTGTCCTCTGTGTTCAAGTCTCTGCGTGTGCCTGGTGAGTTGGCCTTTTAGTCAGAATTACATGGCACTTCAAACCACCCACCATTCAAAAGCCCCTTTACAAGTAAGACTGTATGACATGGTTTTTCCTTCAGTCTCAAGATGAAAGAGAAAAGACTTGCATTTAAAAAGTTGACTTCCTTATTATCTTCTTTATGTTGGCATACTAGGTACAATCAGGCATGTACAGCTGCTCATGGTGACCATCCAAGGGAGTGTCCAAAAGAGGAGAACTGGTTACAGCTGTTGCCAGAGTGTACGTTTTACAGTTTTTTTTCCTTTGCAAAATGAGGTAGTTCGCTAGGTGCAGGGCTCTACAGTGCAACCATTTTACTCACATATGCGCCTAAATATTTTGCTGTGCGACCTGTAATTTTCATGTAGGAGCACCACAGGTCAGCATAGAGCCCTGATGTAGAGCAAAAAATGCTCTAATGACTGGAAACAGAGATTGGATTTGCTTCATAAGTGTTGATCAACGATGTAAACCCATCATTGGTGTTGATAAACATGTTGATGACACTAAGATGTTAATAAATGTATCATTGTAGGTGCATTTATGAATGAGTCACTGTTAGGTATTGAATTAAACATCTTTTCTTAAAGTTTCAACCAATTTGACTGGAGCAACAGATTTGGAGTTTTATGCCACGTCACTATACTGGTCTGCAATAACTCTAGGTTCTGTGGGGTAAGTAAGGTGCTTTTAAGTGGGTTTAAATCTATTTCTTTTTTTACCAGTACCACTTGGATACAGTGAGCGATGTTAGACAAAGGCTATTAAACATCACAAAATAACCATCTAGACTACCTATAACCACAGGGATGCTTTGTGACGTTCTTAATGCATCTGTGTTCCTCTGTATTTGCATGAGTTCGTTTTTGACGGGCACAGGTGTTTTGTATTGAATGCTTTAGAATACTGGTCATTTTTCATAAAGAACTGTGAAAGTATAATAATATTTATATTTTCTTAGCTATGGAGACATACATGCTATGAAGATCCCGGAGGTTACGGTTGCCTCACTGGTGATGGTGGTTGGTTTATTTGCCTTTGGAGTAATCGTGACTGGAATGAGCTCCATCATAAGCAATCTGGATGCCCGGAGAGGAAGGTTTCACCATCGAATGGAGTCCATTTGTCTTCATATGGTATATCTCAACACCCATTGATATAAATAATTGATAATCGTGATAAAAACAACAGCTTTTATTTTTATTTTTCCAGAAACAAATGGAATTGCCAGAGGAAGTACAAACATGGGTGCACAAATATTACTATGATCTGTGGACGCATCGCAAAGGCAGTATAATCGCTGGACTACTGGATGACCTTCCTTTTCCTCTACATTCAGAAATATCCTCTGCTTGTTACAAACCTCTGATGAAAAAGGTGAGATTTCTTTTAATGTGTTGCTTGGTTTGGTCAGCCATGTATGATCCTTATAGTACTAAGATAAAGTCTGATGCTTTGACTGTTGAGACAATGATTATTTAAATGTTTTGTATTCTCTTCCAGACAACCTTGTTTCATGATACCGAAGATGGCTTTAAAAGAGCTTTGTCACTTAAATTCAACACGTACACATACAGTCCTGGACAAATTTTGGCAAAGCCTGGAGAAATCAATCAAAATGCCTACTACATTGAACATGGAGTGGTGCAGGTACATTTAGTTTATTCTATGAATATCAGCAGTCATCACTTTGATCACAACATGATCAAACATGATTAAACTAGTTAGTACCAAACTTGAATCGATCATCCAAATCTGTACAAAAACTAAAGTGAAAATGTATAGTCCTATGCTGTAAACATTGAGTGTCTAACCAAATTTAGATTTCCGTATTTCAAAATGAATTTATTATAAAATTGCTTTTGTTTACAAATTATGATGCCCTCCTTACAGGTATTAGGAGATAATCATTGTGACAAAATTGCCACTTTGCTGCCTGGATCGTTAATTGGAGAGGTATGGCAAAGAGCATCACCTCTGTTTGATATTTTGAATTTTTTATAAAAAAAGATGTGTTTGTAAGCTATTCCATGGGTTTATGCATGATGTGTGTGTAAAATATGATTATTGTCCTTCAAGGCTTATCTGATGTACAGAATTCCGAGAAACACTACGATTTGTGCAGCAACATTATGTGAAATTTGTGTGTTGGAACGCAGAGATCTTCTTGCATTGTTTGCAGATTACCCGGAAGGTAGGTATACTTTTTTAAATCACTTAAACATTTTGATAGAACAAACCAGATTGTTTAATGTAGTGTACATCCCTTGAAATCTGTTCTTTGAAATCTGTATTTTCTGTGACATTACAAATACCGTCATATTGCAAAATAAAATATCTTCAACAGCTGGTTTGAAGATAGCAAGAACAGCTCAAAAACAGCTGCATAATGTTAAGCATCCTATTAGGGAAGCCTTTGCGCTAGGAGTGGCATCGAACCCCCAGAATGTGGTTTTTCAGAAGGATTTAAGTGTAAATCTGCTGGTAAGTATGAGTTCTATCACAGGCCATTTCATCCAGTGTTCATTCTTCAGCGATGTAAAGTGTATTTGAGGAAAATAGACTTGGCATGATGTTATTGTATTTACAACTGATTATTTTCCATTTCAGCCAAGGGATCAGAAGATTTTTACATTGTTTATGGAATATTTTGCAAACCAGTCCCACAATATCTCTTCATCAGTTAAAACATCTACAGACGTGAAAAGGGTAGGTTAGATGAACGAAGCAAATTGCTCAGAAATAAGAGAAAATGTATTTGAACTGTAAATCCTTCTATGAGTGCTTAATATATTCATGTGTTGTTCCCAGTCTGTTTGGATGAGAACTATTCGACCAGATGGCATGTTTGCTCAGAAGTGGGAGGTCTTCATGTTTTGGTGTATCACCATTTCAATTTTTATTGAAACATGGGTACTTTTTTTCACCAACAACCTAGACACAAAGGGTGAGTCGTGTTGGAATTTTTCAATGACCTGATTTTCCAGACCACCACTAGAACAACCGTAAACTCTTTTGTTGGAAGAAATGCATCCACCACTAAAGGTTAGCGAGTCCTTAATCTAAAATGAATCGATTACTGAAAATTGTTTTGTGAAGTTTATTTTTATGGCTTTACAGGCTTTCACAACGAAGGATGGGGTGTGCTCTATCTTACAATCAGCTCATTGGTTGATGTTTTTGCCATTATTGACATATTTGTGAACCTCCGCACAGAAGTTTTTACAAAAGATGGTAATGTGTTGATCTTCGTTGTTTATAGAAAAGTCACTGTTATCTGATATGTTCAATACTGCTGCCATATCACTGAATAGAAATACGCATGTGATTTCTGGTTTATTTTCTCTGTGAACAAAGGCTATCAAGCTGACGTAATGGGTATTTTTGACAACTATCGAAGATCTTGGAACCTGTATTATGACGTCCTGGCTGTTTTCCCTTTGGACATTTTATCGTTTGCAAAAAGTGGAGAATCACATTGGAGAGTTTTAGGCTATGTCAGATGGAATCGTCTTATTTGGATTCGGAAGGTGAAGTAACAAGTTTAATGCTTTGATTTTATTTGACACAAATTGCCAATCTTGAGCTGCCTGTGTCTCATGGTTTTTATGACCGTGTAGGTCATTGTGAGGCTGAACCTGAACACCAATGTCCTTACATTCCAGATTTATTTGTTTTTCAACAAAAACGAAAATGACATGGATAAGAACCTGTTTGAGCAAAGAACGGCAAAATGTATTTTCCTCATGATTTTCTCTGTGCACTGCTGCTCTGGAGTAATGTATCTCACAGGCTGCAAAGACTTCAGGTAATATTCCAGCCTTAAAAAAAAAAAGACAATGGGTTGGAAGTGTTAATGACTTCTGTTTCAATCGATGCATTGACAAATATTTTTCCATCTTTCCATAGGTGTGATGAAGAGTCATGGGCCTGGAACACAGGACTGAAAGCCAGCCAGAGCAACTTGTATCATTATATGATTGCTGTTTATTGGACAACAACAAGCATGACAACCACTGGTAAGATGAAGTCCACCCCACTCAGTATAATACAGTACAGTGCCCAGTGCCTTAAACGTTTCATAACTGAATATTTTTCTCTCAGGATATGGTGACATTGTTCCCAGCACTATGAAAGAGCGACTTACTGCTGTATTTGTTTGCTTCATTGGCTTGTTTGTCTTTAACTACATCATCAGTCAAGTCTATGCCACATTGGCCAGTCAGAATGCTGCCAGGTAAATATTTTTCACTTTTGTGTGGTTTTTAAACTTGAGTGTGTATTGATGTGCATTGGTTTATAACAACTAAGCAAGACTATCTTTTCTCCAGGGTTACATTTCAGAATCTCCTCTCAGCCATGACTAACTTCATGGAAAGCCATGACCTTAGTTTATCACTTCAAACAAGGGTCACTGAGTATATGAGTCTTCTTTGGTCAAAGTATCAGTAAGTTTGTTTTCAAGTTTTTCCAAATATATCTCAGAGGCCATTCCTTTCATTAGACCAAAGATGTATTATTATTTTTGACGTTTCAGGGGTCAAGCATACCCTGGAGGCCAATTTTTAATGCATGACTTGCCAATCGAACTTCAACAGATTGTCCTGATGAAAGAGAGAGGAAGGTTCTTGTCAAAGGTATCATACTTTTTTGTACAGTATGTACCGGTATGCTGATAAAGACAGGCATATCCAATATTATGTAGTTAGGGGGAAAAAAACATTGCCGACTGTTTATAAAGGAATTTGATTTTTCATACAGCTTTAACTTAATTTACAATCATAACGGGTGACACTGTGTTATACTTGTAATTATGTTTTTGAGTCATTTATTTATTTTTCATTGCAACCATCATCCATTTTATACGGCATAATCAACCTATGTGTACATGAAGACCCCCATTTATTTTTTTTCAACAGATTCCTTATTTCGAGCAAGCTGGACAAGCGTTCATTCGGGATCTCGCATCAACCTCTGTCATGTATTTCTTTCCCAGAGGGGAGATCATCCAGTACAGTGAAACTATTACCAGAGAGCTATTTTGCATTCGAAAAGGGACTTGCCAGGTTTGTATGAAAGAGTTATGCTTGTATGAATTATACATAATGTGTATTCACATTATACAGTTACTCTCCCCCCCCCCATTTGTTCTAGTTTTTACAAGTAAATCCTTTGATTTGATTTTCAAGATTCTAAGTGATGACTTGTCTGAAATTGTTGGACTCTACGGTGAAGGAATGTATTTCGGGGAGGTAATATTTACAAAGACATTTGCTTAAGCAAAGTTTTGATTTACTACTTTCATTCATATTTGGAATGTTACATTGAATACTCGTTGGATCTAATTTCAGGCTGGATTTTTGTTTGGAAAACAAGCTACAATGACCGTCCGTGCAAAGACTCACTGTGAGATCATAGTGATCGATTTTGACAAAGTTAAAGCAGTTCTGGAGAGATACCCGGTCATTGAAAGGTACATCTATTTGAACACTTGGGGCTCTATTTTCGGCTGGTGTTAAGGCGACGCTAGTGTCAAACGGCACGTTAGTTTGCAATTTCGTAATGTAAAAACTGGCGCACTGGCATTTTCCAGCCCTAAAGCCAGGTTCGGCAATTTACCTGTCTTATATCAGCTCGCTTGGGCTCAGATGGGAGGGGTAGAAATATTTGAGGTGTGTCCTTAAAAACATCCAAAGTGCTAATTTGAGGCAGCGCTGATAGGGATAAAGCTGGTTTTAGCAGTAACGCAGTTGGTTATGGCATGGATTTTGACAGCGGAAACACAGCCTATCAAGCTGTGACGCATACTGCCCATATGCGCATGGAACAAGAGTAGCCTTTATACTTCATATTTAGAAACATTAAAAATATATATGTTTCTTCCCATTTCGTTTTATTTGGTTAAAACCAAGCATAACCTCCCCTGCTCTCAATGAAGGCTTGTATTTTTGTCCTGCCCAATGCAATCGCGAAGTAGTCAAGACTGTCGATAAAGTGTTTGGCTCCTGAGACCACTTGGAAATAAATCTTAATCACCAAAGCTTTATTAATATATCAAGTTTGAGAGGAGTAAAACAGTGAGCTGACGTTCCCTTTTTATCTATGCATTGTAGGCAGGCCCACATTATGTTAGCCATGCAGGTCCCGTTTTGGACGTGCTTAAAACCCCCTACATGATATAGGCTACGTGTCCATGCCCATCATGAAACGAGAGATGAGAACCTCTGTGAATACCAGTGAACCTCAAATTTAGAAGTTGTCTGTAATCTGTAACAGTTGCTTGTTTTCCGTTTGATATGTTCAAAACCCAAGCCGTCCTTTAGGCCTACAATAAAGAGGATGGTTCAACCGCAATGCGTGTCTTTTTTATCCTGGTCATTTTATGATATCATTGTATTTTACATTTATTTATTGTTGTTTAAAAAAAGCTCAGAATGCTTGTTTTTTGTTTAATTTTATTACAACCAATATTATTAGAATGATTCACCCTCCTGGTTACAACGTCAGTGGCGCGCATGCAACGCAACTTCTGGAGATGTGTGAATGCGATCTGATCTGTAAAATGGTTCCGATTATGTTCATAAAGCGTAGCACTATATGGGAGCAGTATAACGGTGAGTGGACATTCTCCCTTTCTCTTTATACTGGATCTTTGATCAGCTACTGTGAACACTGGATGTGCGTAAAGTCCTCCATAGTCTGCGTTTTAATATTATATGTCCACGGGGAGAAATGATGGTGCCTCTAAGTGTCACATAGCCTATTTAAAACAAGTTGTTGTTTTGTTTAGAATTTTATTAGAATTATTTGTTCTCTTTTTAGCCCTTATCAAAAATGAATTGAATCTTGCTTATTGACAATGTTTGGCAAGTCCATGCTCAGCCATAATTAAATGTACAGTAGGCCTAGCCCTTTAGAACAACGTGGACTGCAAATGGGTTCAAGTTAATGTATTTAGGTCTACATTTTGTTATTTTGTTTCTGTAAGCCATTTAACAAACTAACGGACTAACATTGGAATTGGAGTTGATTCCAAGGCAATACATAAAAGACCCGTAAACACAACTTGGAAGCAACCACATATGCCGCCATGGAGCATGTTCTGATTGGCTAGTGAGAGGCCAAGCCTCGACACACCCACAACATGTTTATTCATCAAAACCCAGCCCTTTTGTGCCAACGCCAGCAAGTGCGCCAATAATTGTGATAGTTAAAATAGCACAAATATTTCTGACACACCCCTGAACCTATAGCGAATAAAAATAGAGCCCATAATATTCATTGTCATATGAATTGTCAAATGTTATAAGAGATTTCCTGTTATAATTTGTATAATACAGTGAGGGAAAAAAGTATTTGATCCCCTGCTGATTTTGTACGTTTGCCCACTGACAAAGACATGATCAGTCTATAATTTTAATGGTAGGTTTATTTGAACAGTGAGAGACAGAATAACAACAAAAACAATCCAGAAAAATGCATGTAAAAAATGTTATAAATTGATTTGCATTTTAATGAGGGAAATAAGTATTTGACCCCCTCTCAATCAGAAAGATTTCTGGCTCCCAGGTGTCTTTTATACAGGTAACAAGATGAGATTAGGAGCACACTCTTAAAGGGAGTGCTCCTAATCTCAGCTTGTTACCTGTATAAAAGACACCTGTCCACAGAAGCAATCAATCAGATTCCAAACTCTCCACCATGGCCAAGACCAAAGAGCTCTCCAAGGATGTCAGGGACAAGATTGTAGACCTACACAAGGCTGGAATGGGCTACAAGACCATCGCCAAGCAGCTTGGTGAGAAGGTGACAACAGTTGGTGCGATTATTCGCAAATGGAAGAAACACAAAATAACTGTCAATCTCCCTCGGCCTGGGGCTCCATGCAAGATCTCACCTCGTGGAGTTGCAATGATCATGAGAACGGTGAGGAATCAGCCCAGAACTACACGGGAGGATCTTGTCAATGATCTCAAGGCAGCTGGGACCATAGTCACTAAGAAAACAATTGGTAACACACTACGCCGTGAAGGACTGAAATCCTGCAGCGCTTGCAAGGTCCCTCTGCTCAAGAAAGCACAAATACAGGCCCGTCTGAAGTTTGCCAATGAACATCTGAATGATTCAGAGGAGAACTGGGTGAAAGTGTTGTGGTCAGATGAGACCAAAATCGAGCTCTTTGGCATCAACTCAACTCGCCGTGTTTGGAGGAGGAGGAATGCTGCCTATGACCCCAAGAACACCATCCCCACCTTCAAACATGGAGGTGGAAACATTATGCTTTGGGGGTGTTTTTCTGCTAAGGGGACAGGACAACTTCACCGCATCAAAGGGACGATGGACGGGGCCATGTACCGTCAAATCTTGGGTGAGAACCTCCTTCCCTCAGCCAGGGCATTGAAAATGGGTCGTGGATAGGTATTCCAGCATGACAATCACCCAAAACACACGGCCAATGCAACAAAGGAGTGGCTCAAGAAGCAGCACATTAAGGTCCTGGAGTGCCTAGCCAGTCTCCAAACCTTAATCCCATAGAAAATCTGTGGAGGGAGCTGAAGGTTCGAGTTGCCAAACGTCAGCCTCGAAACCTTAATGACTTGGAGAAGATCTGCAAAGAGGAGTGAGACAAAATCCCTCCTGAGATGTGTGCAAACCTGGTGGCCAACTACAAGAAACGTCTGACCTCTGTGATTGCCAAGAAGGGTTTTGCCAACAAGTACTAAGTCATGTTTTGCAGAGGGGTCAAATACTTATTTCCCTCATTAAAATGCAAATCAATTTATAACATTTTTGACATGCGTTTTTCTGGATTTTTTTGTTGTTATTCTGTCTCTCACTGTTATAGACCGATAATTTCCTTGTCAGTGGGCAAACGTACGAAATCAGCAGGGGATCAAATACTTTTTCCCCTCACTGTATTTGTTATAATACTGCTAGAGAAACAGAGATTGAGTGAATTATATAATGAAAATCATGATTTCTGCCTTTGTTTCCTTCTAGCCAAATAGCGGAATTGCAATCAACACCAGAGTATTACTACACTTTACTGCAAAGTGTTGAAGAAATGATGAAGTCTGAGGAACAGGATGATGACACACTGAAGAAGAAAGATGCCTCGTTGACGTATCAAGGTCGTCGATATGCCAAGAAGTCAAAGTGTTGTAAGTTTTCCCTTCACCATGTCTGCATGTTTGGGGTCACTTAGAAATGTCCTTGTTTCGAAAGAAAAGCAATTTTTTTTGTCCATTAAAATAACATCAAATTGATCAGAAATACAGTGTAGACATTGTTAATGTTGTAAATGGCTATTGTAGCTGGAAACTGCTGATTTAAAAAAAATGGAATATCTACATAGGCGTACAGAGGCCCATTATCAGCAACCATCAGTCCTGTGTTCCAATGGCATGTTGTGTTTGCTAATCCAAGTTTATCATTTTAAAAGGCTAATTGATCATTAGAAAACCCTTTTTCAATTATGTTAGCACAGCTGAAAACTGTTGTGCTGATTAAAGAAGCAATAAAACTGGCCTTCTTGACTAGTTGAGTATCTGGAGCATCAGTAATTGTGGGTTCAATTACAGGCTCAAAATGGCCAGAAACAAATAACTTTCTTCTGAAACTCGTCAGTCTATTCTTGTTCTGAGAAATGAAGGCTATTCCATGCGAGAAATTGCCAAGAAACTGAAGATCTCATACAACGCTGTGTACTACTCCCTTCACAGAACAGCGCAAACTGGCTCTAACCAGAATAGAAAGAGGAGTGGGAGGCCCCGGTGCACAACTGAGCAAGAGGACAAATACATTAGAGTGTCTAGTTTGAGAAACAGACACCTCACAGGTCCTCAACTGGCAGCTTCATTAAATAGTACCCGCAAAACACCAGTTTCAACGTCAGCAGTGAAGAGGCGACTCCGGGATGCTGACCTTCTAGGCAGAGTTGCAAAGAAAAAGCCATATCTCAGACTGCCCATCTTAATCTTTTCTTTTTATTGGCCAGTCTGAGATATGGCTTTTTCTTTGCAACTCTGTCTAGAAGGTCAGCATCCCGGAGTCGCCTCTTCACTGTTGACGTTGAGACTGGTGTTTCTGGTTAGAGACAGTTTGCGCTGTTCTGTGAAGGGAGTAGTACACAGTGTTGTACGAGATCTTCTCTTTCTTGGCAATTTCTCGCATGGAATAGCCTTCATTTCTCAGAACAAGAATATACTGACGAGTTTCAGAAGAAAGTTATTTGTTTCTGGCCATTTTGAGCCTGTAATCGAACCCACAATTGCTGATGCTCCAGATACTCAACTAGTCAAGAAGGCCAGTTTTATTGCTTCTTTAATCAGCACAACCGTTTTCAGCTGTGCTAACATAATTGCAAAAGGGTTTTCTGATTATCTATTAGCCTTTTAAAATGATAAATTTGGTTAGCAAACACAACATGCCATTGGAACACAGGACTGATGGTTGCTGATGGGCCTCTGTACGCCAATGTAGATATTCCATAAAAAATCAGGCGTTTCCAGCTACAATAGCCATTTACAACATTAACAATGTCTACACTGTATATTTCTGATCAATTTGATGTTATTTTAATGGACAAATTTTTTTTTGCTTTTCTTTCGAAAACAAGGACATTTCTAAGTGACCCCAAACTTTTGAACGGCAGTGTATGCCTATTAAATTATTAGGAAAAACTAAACATATAACCGATTGTAGATATTGAGGACTTTGGAAACTTCCCAATCTATGCTGGAGCAGAAGAAGAAACTGTTGAGGAAAAACTTCTGAAACTGAGCAAAACTAAAGTGATACCTCCCACTCCAAGGTATGCAGACAGCAGCTCAGACTTGTGAAACTTGTCGCTGTCAAACCTTCCACATGTCATAATAAAAACCACAATATAACCAGCATTTACATAAACATTTGAGCTACCCACAATATAACCAGCATTTACATAAACATTTGAGCTACCCACAATATAACCAGCATTTACATAAACATTTGAGCTACCCACAATATAACCAGCATTTACATAAACATTTGAGCTACCCACAATATAACCAGCATTTACATAAACATTTGAGCTACCCACAATATAACCAGCATTTACATAAACATTTGAGCTACCCACAATATAACCAGCATTTACATAAACATTTGAGCTACCCACAATATAACCAGCATTTACATAAACATTTGAGCTACCCACAATATAACCAGCATTTACATAAACATTTGAGCTACCCACAATATAACCAGCATTTACATAAACATTTACATCAAGTTTGGTATTTTGCTCCAAGAGACAAATTATGTCTGTAACAAGTTACAACCTCTCTTTTTTTAGAACTGTGCAAGAGAGATTAGCAGAGTTTTTCTTCAGATCATGACCTTCAGTGTATATAATGCTTAATGTTTCATTGAGACAAACTGACAGACAGTGTGTTCTAAATTACTTGAAATAATGTTATGAGACTTGATGACAGTGTAATGAAGGGTGCTATAAACTATGACACTGCTCTGTAATGAAAATGTACTTTCTTTTTCTAGTTATAGGAGTGCCATTTTGCCTAGCAATCCACTGTACATCCGATGGGAATTTTTCCGATGTATTTTGGCCATAACGATCAGCATCAATAGCTCTCTTCTTTTTGCTTTTCTCCACTACAAAAAAGAACTCTGGATCTTGTCCTACGTTCTGGGCCTTTTTTGTTGGATTGACATGTATATCCGTTTGCATGTTGCTTTTTACAAGGACAATCTCAAAGTGGACACGCTGGAAACTGCAAAACACTATGTGAAGACAAGCTTTCTAATAGATCTCATCAGCTGTTTTCCCTGGGAAGTTATTGGCTGGATGGTGGTATCCCCTTTTGATGAGAAAGGATTTTACTCCAACAGCGAAGCACTGCACCTATATGCATATCTCAGAGTCCCACATCTTCTCCAGTTATATCGGATTCCTCTTGCATTTTCATTCTGGCAATCTGGGATTGCAAGCGAAAAGGCGATTGTCACATTTGCTAAGTTCTTTCTGTATTGCATCCTTTTACTTCACTTCAGCACTTGCATCGTTTTTGCAATTGTATGCCCTCCAGCAGACTTGTTTGGTGACACAACCAATTACTTATTGCCTATGATAAAGCACAACTGTTCATCACAATCCTGGGTGTATCACTTGGACTACACGTTTAACACAGTGTATGGTAAGTTCTAACTCAACTAGTTTGTTCTTCTACCACTACTATTGTTGTACTACTATCTAAACCAAATTATAATATCATTCATTTACTCTACAGTATAAGCTATCAAAATGTCTGAAAGATTAAAACAAAAAATGGTATGGAAAGTGTATAGTGTATAACTTACTTGAGGACTTTGTATTGTCATGGAAAACTCCCCTTCCCCTCAGAAACGGCTACCTTCACAGAACTGTATTCCATAAGTTTATACTTTGCAACTACAACTCTCTGTGGTGTAGGATATGGTGATATTCATCCTTATCTAGCCTCTATGGTAAGGTTATTCAAATTGCAAACAGTTTTAGGATCAATTAAGTCATAAATAACTCAAGATCACAGCAATATGTTTTTAAAGCTACTTTAAAGGTTTATATGGTTATTATTATATGTACAGTATTTGAAAGTAATTGTATTGTTTTGTTGTTTGTGTGTCTTTGCAGAAAATTACCATGGTCTTCATAATGGTGTCTGGAGCGTTGTATTGTGGTTATGTGGCTGGTACATGTGCTGCTATGTTAGCCAATGCAGATGCTACAAGGGAAGCCTTTACTGAGAAAAAGGAAAGCATACAACTATTCTTGAAGGTAAGGTTTTTCTTTTTGTAGATTTGATCTCCTTTGTGGCAACATTTGTGGCTTACCTGTTATATTTTTGAGGTCTCATTATGTGCAATTCTCTGCCTTAGAGTCAGAACATTACAGGGGATCTATATCACAATACTGTGAACTTCTATGCTTTCAAATGGATAAGAACGAAAGGACTAGACCAAGACACATTGTTTCAGTATTTGCCATCATCTCTACTCGGAGATATATCTACAATTATCTACTCTGACCTTATTGCAAAGGTACATTTATCAATTTATATATTTATCAGCTTAGACTACCTTGATTTAATTTTGTGACTAAAGTAAGTATACCGGTATACACTTTTATTATTGTTTAATTTTAGGCATTTGGACTTGATATCAAGAGGAAGCAGCAAAGGAACTCAGTGGCACAAAATCTATCCCCACTTGAGAGAACATTATCTGGAAAGCTTGATGTAAAATAATTTTTACTTTTTCCAGCTCGTAAGTATTTTCTTCAAATCTTTGCTTCAAAAGTATTTCTGGAAGCTACGTTTCTTTCTGTTCTGCCAACTCTACAGGGACCCTTTTTTCACAAAATACTGAGGAAAGAGAGTGTGGACCAGTTGGAAACAGATGGAGGATTCATTCGGTTACTAGCTAGACAGATTCGACCTTGCCTTTACAGAGCTAATGACCTGATATGCAAAAGAAATGACTTTGGATCAGAGGTGTGACACATGGCTCTGCTGTGTTTAGGTTTCCATTGGCTATGACAGCAGGGCTCAATCCTAATGACAGAAAAGGTGCACATGAGAATGTTGCTGTTGCTCTCTTCACCATTTTTGTTATTACTAGCATTTTTGTTCCTAGATGTATTTCATTGAAAAGGGAGAAGTAGAAGTCTTGTCACAGGACGAGTTGACTGTTATCATCAAACTGAATGCAGGACAATACTTTGGAGAAGGAAGCCTACTGTTTGCAGAACCTCGTGCAACCACAATAAGGCATGATACTTTTGATGACTTAAAACATAATTGTCTCTCATTTAAATATACAATTCTGTGTCTCTGATCAAATACATTTTAGATTGTAGCATTGTATATGTCTTGTAATAATCAGTATTGTACTGTTTTCTTGTGCGTCCCAGGGCTGCCACAAATTGTGATCTGTATGTCCTCTCCAAGAAAAGCCTTGATGAAACTGTAAAATACTATCCAGACATTTGCAAACAGATAAAGAAAGCTGCAGAAATGAAACGTAAACAGCTACTGCAAAGAACAATGGACATGTCAAAAGTTCAGAAGAATGTTTCAGCAACTGACCTACTTATGAATGACACAGGATGTAAGTTGGCTGGCATTACTTCAGTAATGTTGCTATATTCATGTGTTGATGAAATAGAAAGTTCTGCCAAAGCAAATCTATGTAACTCTTATAAGTATGGTAGTTGTACTGAGGCACCTTATTACACATTTTTAAACTCTGCCCCCCAAAAATGTGTTTGTGCCAAAAAAAAGGGAAAAAACTATATCTTTGAAGTTATAGGAAAAAGCTTTGCTTAGCTCTGCTGTAGTATTGCTGCAGCAAACATCTTTCTTATACTTGTAGCTTTTATGGGTTACACCATTTATGAAGTACATTTATATGTGAGCAATTTGTTTCTTCCATCAGATATAAAGCTTTACAAGCACTGCATGGCAGAAGAGGAAAAGAAAGCTAAGTTTAAAGACTTCCCATTTCATGTCCGAATTAAGACGAGCTTCACTCAATTCTTGATCCGTTTTCTGTTGAACGTCATCAGAATCCACAACACAACAATCAATCCAGAGAGCACAGTACGTGTTGTGTATCAGTACACATCTTGCCTTCTGATCATCATTCTGTTTTGGGCGATAACATACATGGTAAGTGGTGCACATTGTTCTCAGAATTATAATTTGTTGTCACATAATAGTTTGACCCATCCATTAGTGGAGTTCTGCCTATTATCGTATTATTGACCTCAAGGTAAAATATCAGTCAAATAGAATAATAATCTGTATGAATATTTGTGTTCGGTCACTTGAGTTGTAAGTAGTATAAGAACATATTAACTATTGATTTCCCTCAATTTCAGCCATCTGTGTTCGATCTTGACCGAGGCATCTTTTTGTTCACAATGATTATCGAATATATTCAAATGATTGAGGTGAGGGACACAGCTCATGAATTTGTTAGTAATCCAAATAACCACTTTAGGGTCCTTTCAGTCTGTTGATACATTGTGTTTCCATAAATTATAATGTACACTACACCCACCATTTTGTTTTAACCTTGTTGTATTAAGCCTGTTTCAATATTTATGCTAATATTCTTCAGAACGGATTTGTTTTTAGGTCTTTGCGTATGATTACATTGACAATGTAATTTTTCTTACAGATCATTTTGAAATTTCATATTTGCTTCTATGATGAAGGTGGATCATACATCTCAGACTACAAATCTGTGTCACTGAGCTATATGACGAGGAAAGTGGGATACATTTATGATGTCATATGCTCATTCCCATACGCATTTACAATTTTGCACCTCATGAATCAAGTGTCACCAATAGCATTTCTGCAGATAATAGTATATGTTCGCAGTTTTCATCTACTCCGGATTCTGACTGTACTTGTCTTCATGCACAAGGAGGAGCAATCCATCATTACTAAGTATGTGCACTATGTTTTTGTTTAGTTTAGCATGTTCTCAATGCTGTTTTTACCAGTATGTGTTTAAACAGTTGTGTGGTTTTGAATGATGCGGAATAAAAGGCCATGTTGTAGCTTCTGTATCCTCTAATCATTTACAGTATATGTGCTTATTCAGGAATTTGAGATGTATTAGATTAGACCTTTGTCCGGCCGGCCCATACAATTTCCCACTGTCAAGTTGTTTTGATTGATGTTATCGCCAGTCTTTTGTCTCTAATCTATTTCTCTTCTATTTTTTTTTTACATTGACAGCTTGCTTGCCATACGAATCATCAAGTACTTGGTCCATGCAGTCCTGTTTGTCCACTGTACCGCAGTTTTATTTCTTTTATTTGTTATACATGGTGGCTTTAATTCGTGGGTTGTCAACACAGGTAAGGTCAGCTAAAATGGGTAAGGCATGATGAATGATTACGTTCGTTTTGGTAATGAAAATAAAATAAATGAATACAATTAATTTATTTATTACAATTAATTTATTAGACTTTTGACAGGGCTTTTAGTTTGACATATTCAAAATTTCTGAGTTTCTAAATACGTAAACACTAGATTTATTTGTGTTGTTTTTATGTTGTGTTTTTACAGACGTGTTTTACCTCCCTGATATTTACCACTACTCCGTATATTGGACTTTAGCAACTTACACAACAACAGGCTATGGTGATATCCGTGCAGTGACATACGAAGAAATGTTATTCTCCATTTTGATAATAATTCTTTCCAAGATGCAAGTCAGTTACAATATGGGACTTCTCTCATCCACTCAAACAAACAAGCAATCACTTCAAGTGGCGTATGAAGAGAAGTTGCAGGTATGAACAATAATACTCAAGACTAGAATTTAAGTAGCTTTTGATTTAATGGAATTCAGTCTTCAAAAGCTGAAAATGAGGTACTGTTGCGAGAGAACTATGAACTTGAATGACTCATCGTCTTTCTCTTCCCATTTTAATCCAGGCAGTCCAAAACTACATGATGGATGAAAACATTCCATCAGCGCTGCAAAATCGCGTCATCCGATTCTACAATTACCGATGGACACGAACCAAAGGGATAGATTCTGAAGAATTGTTCAAAGATACACCTCATTGTATGAAAGTAGACATTTTCTCAAGGTAACTAGCAATCCATCATTACTAATGTCTGCAAATGCTTAGTGATGAAATGTTAACGAACTGTTACATACTGTACCAAACTACTGCTTAATTAGAAAAACGATGTGTACAAAATAAGACCATGTAGCATGAGATTATGAAGCCCCGTATTATTTTGTCACCATTTTAGAATAAGTGTGAATCTACTGAAGAAAAATCAGCTCTTCACTCATCTCTCAGAAACATTCCTGAGACACTTGGCAACAAAGATGCTGCTGAAAAGCTACACCTCTGGTAAACTTGAGCATCATAGGCTGAATACTAACTAGAATTTTATTTTATTTCTTTTTCTTTTATTTCACCTTTATTTAACTAGGTAAGCCAGTTGAGAACAAGTTCTCATTTGCAACTGCGACCTGGCCAAGATAAAGCAAAGCAGTGCGGAAAAAACAACAACAACACAGAGTTACATATGGAATAAACACCTACATACAGTGCATTTGGAAAGTATTCAGACCCCTTGACTTTTTCCACATGTTGTTTCGTTACAGCCGTATTCTAAAATTGATTGATTTGTTTTCCCCCCTCATCAATCTACACACAATACCCCATAATGACAAAGTAAAAACTGGTTTTTAGACATTTTTGCAAATTTATTAAAAATTAAAAATAAAAAACGGAAATATGACATTTACATAAGTATTCAGACCCTTTACTCAGTACTTTGTTGAAGCACCTTTGGCAGCGATTACAGCCTCAAGGCTTCTTGGGTATGACGCTACAAGCTTGACACACTTGTTTTGGGGAGTTTCTCCCATTCTTCTTTGCAGATCCTCTCAAGCTTTGTCAGGTTGGATGGGGAGCGTCGCTGCACAGCAATTTTCAGATCTCTCCAAAGATGTTAGATCGGGTTCAAGTCCGGGCTCTGGCTGGGCCACTCAAGGACATTCAGAGACTTGTCCCAAAGCCACTCCTGCGTTGTCTTGGCTGTGTGCTTAGGGTCGTTGTCCTGTTGGAAGGTGAACCTTCGCCCCAGTCTGAGGTCCTGAGCGCTCTGGAGCAGGTTTTCATCAAGGATCTCTCTGTACTTTGCTCCGTTCATCTTTCCCTTGATCCTGACTGGTCTCCCAGTCCCTTCCGCTGAAAAACATCCCCACAGCATGATGTTGCCACCACCATGCTTCACCGTAGGGATGGTGCCAGGTTTCCTCCAGACGTGACGCTTGGCATTCAGGCCAAAGAGTTCAATCTTGGTTTCATCAGACCAGGGAATCTTGTTTCTCATGGTCTGAGAGTCCTTTAGGTGCCTTTTGGCAAACTCCAAGCGGGCTGTCATGTGCCTTTTACTGAGGAGTGGCTTCCGTCTGGCCACTCTACCATAAAGGCCTGATTGGTGGAGTGCTGCAGAGATGGTTGTCCTTCTGGAAGGTTCTCCCATCTCCACAGAGGAACTCTAGAGCTCAGGTTGTTGGTCACCTCCCTGACCAAGACCCTTCTCCCCCGATTGCTCAGTTTGGCAGGGCGGCCAGCTCTAGGAAGAGTCTTGGTGGTTCCAAACTTCTTCCATTTAAGAATGATGGAGGCCACTGTGTTCTTGGGGACCTTCAATGCTACAGAAATGTTGTGGGACCCTTCCCCAGATCTGTGCCTCGACATAATCCTGTCTTGGAGCTCTACAGACAATTCCTTCGACCTCATGGTTTGGTTTTTGCTCTGACATGCACTGTCAACTGTGGGACCTTATATAGACAGGTGTGTGCCTTTTCAAATCATGTCCAATCAATTGAATTTACCACGGGTGGACTCCAATCAAGCTGTAGAAACATCTCAAGGATGATCAATGGAAACAGGATGCACCTGAGCTCAATTTTGAGACTCATAGCAAAGGGTCTGAATACTTATGTAAATAAGTTATTTCTGTTTTTTAATTTAATACATTTGCAAACATTTCTAAAAACCTGTTTTCACTTTGTCATTATGGGGTATTGTGTGTAGATTGCTGAGGACGTTTTTTCATTTAATCCATTTTAGAATAAGGTTGTAACGTAACAAAATGTGGAAAAATTCAAGGGCTCTGAATACTTTCCGAAGGGACAGTAACTTCACATTCTGCACTAGTAGTCTGCAGGGTGTATGGTCGGTCCATTTCATTTACTCTGGACTTCATTAACTAAGATTCTGCACCTAACCACTTCTGAGGAATAATCTGACAGTGTGTATGTACATTATCACATGAGTTTTTCACAAGTATTTTGAATGGGGAACAGTGTATAACCAATGTAAACAGTGTATACATTTCGGTATACATGCTGAAATGCTGTCTCTTCTAGGGGAATACATCAATAGAAGGGGAGACTCTGGCCGTGGCATGTTGCTGATCCTGATTGGTAAGGTGAAACTTTGCTCATGGAGAACTGGAAAGGAGGTCATTGAGTATCTTACAACTGGAGCTGCCTTGGGAGTTGACTTGCTGCTGAAATCCAAGTTGTGTACATACACTGCCATTGCTGATAACTATGTGGATATATTTTTCCTGTCAAAAGAGCACTTTGAAGAAGTTGGGTCATATTACCCAGATGTTATGAATAAGTTGCTAAAGAGAGCCTCAAACGTTATCAGCATGTACTAACTGACTAGGTACCCCCTTTCCCTACTAATGTTCACAGACTGGTCACAATATTGATCAATAGTACGAAGCTAAAATGTGAACTCCTTTGTAGTTCTGTTTACAGTTTTTTTGTGACCAAAGATGACTTGTTGACTGAAAAAACATTGTCTCTGTAATGTACTATTATAGAATATATATTTATATCAGTTTAAGTAAATAATCTAGATGTATAGAAATAATTGACCAAATAAATGTCCCAACTGTTTTAAATATGCATGAACCCAAGGTGAATAAAGTGTACTTATTGTTTAACTTGATTGCTCCAATATATCTTAATTGAAGTAAATGAATGAAGAATGAATTAAGTGTTTTTACACTTTATTTGCTTGACATTACAGTTGCAAGCACTCAGGAACTTAGAAAAGTATGGGGTGATGGGAGTATTTGTAGTTCTCTTCTTGAACAGCAGAGGGCCCAATTGAATCATACAAGTTAGGTGGATGATACAAGGACAGAACACGCTAGCCACACGTGCCTTTTTGTTTGTAGTCATCCTCTTTGAACCTTTTAGCCAGCACCTAGATGATCTAGTTTCTCATTCATTTTAATAGTGTGATTTCCTGCCAATAATCCCCAGATACCATAAACGTAACATTGCAGTGAATTATTCTTTTTTTTGGCATTTCAGTAGGCATTTTTAATTTCACATCTCTGGATGAAGCATGAACATTTGAAATACATATTCATCCTATACACTTATCATTTGTTTATCAGTATTATGTATTGTCAATTATATTGTACTTAATTACCACAGGACAGTCCAAAAAAATAAAGATAAACTTGATATCTTCTTACACTGAACAAAAATATAAACGCAACATGTAAAGTGTTGATCCCATGTTTCATGAACTGAAATAAAAGATCCCAGAAATGTTCCATATGCACAAGAAGCTTATTTCTCTCAGATTTTGTGCACATCTTTGTTTACATCCCTGTTAGTGAGCATTTCTGCTTTGCCAAGATAATCCATCCACCTGACAGGTGTGGCATATCAAGAAGCTGATTAAACAGCATGATCATTACACAGGTGCACCTTGTGCTGGAGACAATAAAAGGCCACTCTAAAATGTGCAGATTTGTCACACAACACAATGCCACAGATACAATTGGCATGCAGACTGCAGGAATGTCCACCAGAGCTATTGCCAGATAATTTAATTTAAATTTCTCTACCATAAGCTGCCTCCAACGTCGCTTTAGATAATTTGGCAGTACGTCCAATCGGCCTCACAACCGCAGACCATGTGCAACCACGCCAGCCCAGGACCTCCACATCCGGCTTCTTCACCTGCAGGATCGTCCGAGACCATTCACCCGGACAGCTGATGAAACTAGGTTTGCACAACCAAAGAATTTCTGCACAAACTGTAAGAAACCTTCTCAGGGAAGCTCATCTGCGTGTTCATCGTCCTCACCATGGTATTGTGGGGTTATGGTTATGGTATAGCGTAAGCTACGGACAACGAACACAATTGCATTTTATCGATGGCAATTTGAATGCACAGAGATACCGTGACGAGATCCTGAGGCCCATTGTCGTGCCATTCATCTGCCACCATCACCTCATGTTTCAGCATGATAATGCGCAGCCCCATGTCGCAAGGATCTGTACACAATTCCTGGAAGCTGAAAATATCCCAGGTCTTCCATGGCCTGCATACTCACCAGACATGTCACCCATAGAGCATGTTTGGGATGCTCTGGATTGACGTTTACGACAGCGTGTTCCAGTTCCCGCCAATATCCAGCAACTTCGTTACAGCCATTGAAAAGGAGTGGGACAACATTCCACAGGCCACAATCAACAGCCTGATCAACTCTATATGAAGGAGATGTGTCACGCGGCATGAGGCAAATGGTGGTCACACCAGATACTGACAGTTTTTTTTTTATCCACGCCCCTACTTTTTTTTTTAAAGGTATCTGTGACCAAGAGATTCATATCTGTATTTACAGTCCTGAAATCCGTACATTAGGGCCTAATCAATGTATTTCAATTGACTGATTTCCTTATATGAACTGTAACTCAGTAAAATCTTTGAAATTGTTGCACGTTGCATTTATATTTTTGTTCAGTATAAATTGATCTGTTCTTAACATTACTGAGGCTAGTTCACTTCAAAGTCTTTATATTTCATTATGATCATGACTGGTAAAGGATTTCAAAGAAAGATGCTGCCTGGGAGGAATAAAGACCATATTACATTTACATTTTGAGAAAGGCTACGTTGTGGCGCTGCCGTTGATGTCTTGCGCTCTGATTGATCTCTCAGCTTCTGAGTTGGGGTTTCCTTCTCAGTCGCCCACAGAACAGAATTAGATTAATAAGATAAATTGTTGCAGTTGATTGGCTATATATTATCACTGCAAATGGGTTGGTCAATTGATCAGGCCTACGTTTAATTCGTTTAGAATAAAAATAATAGGACATAATTGGGCCAAGGAGTTGTAAACATGTTATCTGGTGTCGTAGCTGCTGTAAGGTTCAGCAATAGACCAGTTTGTCCTACCCCACCCAACTCCTCCACATTTTATCCATCAGTCAACCAACCTGACATTTCAGATCCATGTTGTGAGATCCCAACAGGGACTGAGTTCCCATTTACTATACACAATTGGCCCTGCAGGCTGATTGACGCCCTGTCACTTTCATCATATCCTATTCTTCTGTTGCTGTCTCTGTGTCTTGTCTGGTGTCTCTCTCCATCATATCCTATTCTTGCCACACAAGGCATGCTGCTGTGTGTAGAAAACAGTTTAGCACATGGGGCCCTTATGTTTAGAGGTAACATTACTTCAGCGGATGTGTCAATGGTAGAGACACGGACAGTTATCATGTCTTGGATCACACATAAAGATACTTTTCTTCCCCTGATCTCGACAAAAAGCCCACTGAATGCAAGGAATATTTGGGGCTCTTTACTTTGACGCACAATGAAATTAAATTATACGGACTTGTACAAGTGTTTTATTTCATTAGTATTTCAGGATTGGGTGCATCTTAAATGATAATTCTTTTAAATGTAATAATTCAACGGAACACGTAACACAGGCTACTGTTCTGCCTTTCACTTTTCTCTCTGATCTCCCCCAACATACTGGGGGATGAAAACTGCTGTAATTACAGGTTCATTATGAGGAGTTTGTGACAATTATTGCTTTGGAAATCTGCCATTAACAATAACATATCAAGTTTTCTTCAGGCTTATTCATGCCCAAAATGTCACTGCAATCATGCTGTTATGGTACACCTTTCAGTTACTCGTGTTCCACTAGCAAGAAAGTGAGTGATGGATGGATGGATTCATATGCTTTAGGAGGAATCAAGAATCAAGGAATCAAATAATCAACAGCTGTGGAACAAATAAGATATCATGCTGTAATCATATTGCATTATTGTCAAATGATCATGTAACACCATCTCAAATTTACAGTGAGATAAAATGTCTTTCTCCATAGGCTCTGAGCACTTAACAATATTATTAATGGTTCTTTCAAAATATCTTCTCTGCATGACCGATTTCTTTGTATTAATTTTCATTATTTTAATGGTCTCATTTTAAGCACAAGATATTGTGAGAGTATATCCTGGGGCATCATATATTTTCATGCCTCCCTGCAACTTTCAGATACCACCAAAAGATAGTTGAGAGAAAATGAAATGTTTGTTCAAGGGGTCAGAGCAATCCAGTGATTTTACGATGTTGCCCAGTTTTTTGGACCATAAAGTAGGCCTAATGTGGAAACACCCTACTGAGATGTCCTGTGTCAGCTTGTTACTGCTCTTGGTTAACTGATGGAGTAATTACAATCCCAAAAGCTGTTGTAGTTTCTTAGAAGAGACTCTGGGAATTCTGGACACATTTTGGACCTAGTCTTTAATGTACTTTCACTAGTCACAAAAGCAAGGCAACGGAGACTCGTTGGAAACTCGAATAAAGTAAGACACCCATTCCAGATCCTTTTCTCTGCTTTGTTGTGTCAAGCTGACTTAAAGAAGAAGAAAAAAACTGATTCCTGTTACATGAGGACTTAAATACAGCCTCACAGACAGGCATTACAGTAGGCTCATTTTCACAGGAGGACCCATAACAGTGGGAAAATCTGTTTGAGGTAACATTACAGCTGTTCTCACTGAGTGTGTGTTTGTGGAGATGGATGAGTCATCAGGGGATGTGTCATGATTCATCTGATCCTTCCATCCCATCTGTTCCACCGTAACCTTTCCAACTGGTCTCTCTTGTTTTCTTCTCTTCACAACGGCTCACATCTTCCCAGAGTCACACAAACACATACAAGCACACACTCGCATTCATCTTCGCTTTTCAACCATAACTCTCACTGATGGAGAACGAGTGGATTGAGAAGCACTGATGGGGAGTGTTTCCCTTCTTTGAACCATTCCAGGCTAGTATGAGATAATTGACAGACCACACTGAACACACCTTCTATTGGATGCTAATGAGAAACAAAATGGTTTGCTTTGTTGAGCTCAACTCAAGCTTACTATCAACAGAGACAGTGACAGTTCACATGAGGTGAGCATGCATTGGTGCTCGGCAGATTTCGCAGGCTGCTGAACACACCAAAGGACCAGATAAACACTTGGATTAAAACGTGGAATGGGGACCTTATACTCCTGAAACCTTATGAGACTGTGTTGCTTTTTATAGTATGGTTGCAGGATTCTTCCACGGCCCTTGTGCTCCCAGCTTCCTGCCAGCATTGACCCTCTGACCCTGTGTTAGACACAGCCGTGCTCAGATCACAGGATCTCTCATCTGTAACCTAGGCCTGGCTCATAATCAAATGAGTGTCTCTGAATGGTTCCAGAGAGGAAGAGACCAGGAACGGGTAGCACACAGGACCTCGCCGCTGCTCTGTCTCACATGCCGCTCCTCCGCCATCCACCCTAAAGGAGGGCCTCCGCCTGACCGGAATAGAAACCATGTTTGGAGATCTGGAGGTAAAGGGGTGAGGGTGGCAGTGTGATGTGGCTAAGCAGATAGGGTTTATTCTAAAAGCATTACTCCACCCTATACTCCAGTGAGCAGTAACAGTGACCTCCCCTCTGGCAGCCAAGATGCTCCGAGCGAACTGTCCTCCAGACCCACTGCACTTGGGGCCCGATTCCGATTTAGGAAATTACGCATTTCTTACACACGCCTTTCCTACGCACTTCTCAGTAGTTGGTATTCAGACTTACCTTATGAAGGTGTGTAACAGGCTTTGCAGGCGTGGTTCCCTTGCGCGCACTTGCTAGCCAACAGATTTTGTCATGGAATTTTCATTCAGGCTTTTCAGTACATTTATCTTAAGCGATCCCTTTGAAGATGGTGTACCCTTAATCAGAATTTTGTCGACAGACTCAATAGAATACACACTACACAATACACAATACACACTACACAATACACAAAAGTATGTGGACACCTGCTCATCGAACATCTCATTCCAAAATCATGGGCATTAATATGGAGTTGGTCCCCCCCTTTGCTGCTATAACATCCTCCACTCTTCTGGGAGACTTTCCACTAGATGTTGGAACATTGCTGCAGGGACTTGCTTCCATTCAGCAACAAGAGCATTAGTGAGGTCGGGCACTGATGTTGGGCGATTAGGCCTGGCTCGCAGTCGGCTTTCCAATTAATCCCAAAGGTGTTCGATGGGGTTGAGGTCAGGGCTCTGTGCAGGCCAGTCAAGTTCTTCCACACTGATCTCGACAAACCATTTCTGTATGGACCTTGCTTTGTGCATGGGGGCATTGTCACACTGAAACAGGAATGGGCCTTCCACAAACTGTTGCCACAAAGTTGGAAGCACAGAATCGTCTAGAATGTCATTGTATGCTGTAGCATGAAGATTTCCCTTCACTGAAACTAAGGGGCCTAGCCCGAACCATGAAAAACCGCCCCAGACCATTATTCCTCCTCCACCAAACTTTACAGTTGGTGCTATGCATTCGGGCAGGTAGCGTTCTCCTGGCATCCACTAAACCCGGATTCGTCCGTTGGACAGCCAGATGGTGAAGCGTGATTCATCAGTCCAGAGAACGTGTTTCCACTGCTCCAGAGTCCAATGGCGGCGAGCTTTACACCACTCAAGCCAACGCTTGGCATTGCGCATGGTGATCTTGGGCTTGTGTGCGGCTGCTTGGCCATGGAAACCCATTTCATGAAGCTCCCGACGAACAGTTCCTGTGCTGATGTTGCTTCCAGAGGAAGTTTGGAACTCGGTAGTGAGTGTTTCAATTGAGGACAGACGATTATTTTGTGCTATGGACTTCAGCACTCAGCGGTCCCATTCTGTGAGCTTGTGTGTGGCCTACCACTTCTCGGCTGAGCCGTTGTTGCTCTTAAATGTTTCCACTTCACAATAACAGCACTAACAGATGACCGGGGCAGCTCTAGGAGGGCAGACATTTTACGAACTGCCTTGTTGGAAAGGTGGTGGCATCCTATGACGGTGCCACGTTGAAAGTCACTGAGCTCTTCAGTACGCCCATTCTACTGCCAATGTTTGTCTATGGAGATCGCATGGCTGTGTGCTCGATTTTTTACACTTGTCAGCAACGGGTGTAGCTAAAATAGCCGAATCCACTAATTTGAAGGGGTATCCACATACTTTTGGTGATGTAGTGTATCTAGAGAACAGTTTCAGAATATATGGATCAATGAAAGAATACCATCTATGCATCTTCGTCTCCGTTTCAACACCAACTGGTAGCTAAAATAATACTCTGATCTTGTAGATTATGTAGGCACATTTTAGGGTTGGGAAAGTATATATGAATCATACAAAAACAGGTTTGGAGAGGCTTTACGCACAAAATATATTGATGAATAAAAAATACAGTGGTTTGATTCATCCTGAAAGTTGTCATATTCAAGTTCAATCCATGAAATATTGGAAGATGTTTTTACAATAGGGGTTGAACAATAGTCCTATAAATCTACCCTAATTCTCACTAATCATGGAACTGTATGACAACGGTCCTGTCGTCGTGAACCATGCACCAGGCTCCAGGTTTAACCTGCTACGTGTAGTTCCATAAGGATTCAAATAAGCTACATGTCCTAAATTATTGCACAACGTTAGCCTAATATGATCCACTAATGCTAGCGACCCTCAGGAACAACTTACACGGATGTGACAGAGGAAAGAAAGGGAAACGAAATGAAATGGAATGATGCAAATTGAAGAGAACGAACACTAAAGTGACAGTTATACATTTATGTGGGTATTACTGACGGTGTCACCCGATAGTGGCTAATATTTAACATGATACAAATTGTAAAATAAAAAGGAAGAAAAGCCCGGGCATAGGTTATAATTAAAACATTCTAAAGTGCATACATCAACTTGGCAGGTTCAGCCCTATAGACTGGGTTTCCAAATCTCATGCACGCAAATTTGAGGGCACACAATTCATATTCTGAATAACGGCACAGCTATTTATAGCCTATTTCACTGTGGAAAAGGGGCCACAATACATGTCATGTTGATATGATTTTCAGTTTACTGTTTTCACATTCGTCTCCAGGGATTATAAGGAAAAATAATCAATCGCTATGTGTATTTACAATCCCCTTCTCAAAACGGATTACTCATTTACCTAGCTCTTATCAGTTCTTATCCGTTAATAAATTACAGTGCATGGAGAATGCTGTTATTTCTATTGGAAAAAATAAAGTAGATGTCACGCCCTGGCTCTGGGACTCTTATATGTTGAGCCAGGGTGGGTAGATTCTATGTGTTTGTGTTTCTATGTTAGGATCTAGTTCATGTGTATCTATGTTGGCCGGGGTGGTTCTCAATCAGAGGCAACGAGAATCAGCTGTTGCTTGTTGTCTCTGATTGGGAACCATACTTAGGCAGCCTGTTTGGCACAGTGTATTGTGGGATCTTGTTCCGTGTTGGTTTGTTTGTTAACCGAGGACTTCACGTTTCGTGTTGTTGTTTTGTTAGTTGTGTAAGTACTCTAATAAAAGATGTACGCATTCCATGCTGCGCCTTGGTCTACTCCTTTTGACGATCGTGACAGTAGATGCTTATTCCACTTGGAACCGGCAGGTTTGCTCGAGCTTATTCATGGTTTCCTCGAGTGTAAAGGTGGTGAAATTATGAGGGAATTAGGTCAAGGTCAGAATACACCTCTGCCACACCCTCATTTCTTAGATAACACCCTGAACGAATATGCATGCTTAACTTGGGCCTGATGAGCACTCTGCTGAGGGCCCCCCCCCCTCTCTCTCTCTGCTCATGGTGTTGTTGGAATCAGAATGTTTATTTTCACTCTCACAATGTGTGCATGTTTTGTGAGGTTTGTTGTCATAGAGGCTTGTGCCCCTAGCATGCAAGTTACATAACATTGCCCACTTCATACTGTAAGATGTAGCTCAGCTCCTGGAGAAGAAGAACTGTCTGTCATAGTGAGAAGAGGATTTACATGATGAGTGAAACAGCAGAATACTAGCTGAATTAAATCATTCCTACATTTTGCAACGTTAATTAGTTTATACTACTGACTCCCTGCAAACACACACACGTAACAATAAGCTTCTACAATAAAATTATTCTTCTTTCGTACAGTACCCAAATCAGTGTGTGATGTTCCAAAAAACATTCCTTACTCCAGAATACTTCAACTGGTGACTATCCTTTCGATAAAGAAAAAGGAGCACTCTGTTGCCGGGTAAATCTGATTAGATGTATTGACGGGACAAGTAAACAAAGGGCTTACGTTTCGGCATGAGTCGCCTTCATCAGAGCCTGTGTGATGTTATTTCACTCTGGGAAAATATGTTTGTTACCGTTTACATGCATGTTGTAAATACTGTGATGTGAGTGTGATTGAATGGAGCCCCATGCCATCACATTGGACCGATTTTAAACCTAACATCGTAAGAACATCCCTCGTCATCTAACGCCAGCTCTAGCTCCTCTGCCAACTTGCTGTAGTGTTTTGAGTTGAGTAACCTTTACTGTTTCCATGGAAACTAGGAACCTGAGGCTCTGAATATCAGACATAAAGACACATGAGCATCCTATATTAGCAACTCATTTCAGCATTTCAAATAAATGTAAGGGTCAACTATCCTAATGTTTTTTCAGTGAAAAGGATCATTCAAGAAGCAACAAGTCTTTACAACACCATCCCTGGACATGTTACATGTCCTTTTGGACAACACCCTCCCTGGTTATGTTACATGTCCTTTTGGACAACAGCCTCCCTGGATATGTTACATGTCCTTTTGGACAACACCGTCCCTGGATATGTTACATGTCCTTTTGGACAACACCGTCCCTGGATATGTTACATGTCCTTTTGGACAACACCATCTCTGGACCTTATGGAACAGCGGGGACTGTGAAGAGACACACACTAAGGTACAGACACATGCATACGCACACATTATATTGTTGTATGGTGTTATTATACATTTTGGACTGTAGATAAGTAGTGGTGTAATAATGTTATATGATGTACTGTTTTATATTTTGTTTTATATGTAATGTAAGCGCTTTAATGTGTTTGGACCCCAGGAAGAGTAGCTGCTGCCTTGGCAGGAACTAATGGGGATCCAGAATAAATACAAATACAAATCCCTGGACATGTTACAAGTCCTTTTGGACAACACCATCCCTGGAGATGTTACATGTCGTTTTTAACAAACTCCTTCAAAGTGATATTTAGCAACTCTGAATTTTCATTAGTAAAAAGAGGAAATCTAAAGGTAATTGGTGACACTGGTGAATCACGGTACATTGATAGCTGAATAAAAGGTAAAAGGTTTTAGTCATTTCTTCAGTTTTTAATAATTCATTTCTCCAGATTTCTCTCATTATTATGCGTCATGCTCTGTTGTCTTGCCCATTCACCCTCTGAATGGCACACATACACGATCCATGTCTCAATTGTCTCAAGGCTTAAAACTCCTTCTTTAACCTGTCTCCTCCCCTTCATCTACACTTATTGAAGTGGATTTAACAAGTGATATCAATAAGGGATCATAGCTTTCACCTGGTCAGTCTATGTCATGGAAAGAGCAGGTGTTCATAATGTTTTGTACACTCAGTGTATCTAGAAAGGAATTCTTAGGCAATCTACAGAATGTCTGAGTCACTCTAAAAAATGACTATGTCCCTGGTACATAAGGTTTCATTTAAAGTTTTAATGATGTTACGCTAAATAAATCAATGGCTTCCATATGGGATTCAGTAATGTTGCAAAGCCAGGAGACTGGCTACATCTGTGCATTAGCTGCTTTCAGAGATGTGGTGAACATGCAAAATACAATAGAATGTAAATAAATATAGAGGGTTGAATAAAAGATAATCATCATATCGACTTATATTCAAGACATGAAAAACAACACAATAGAGCCATATCCCCAGAAAATACTGATGGTGTCATTGACATTTAGCTCAGAGATCATTTTTTAACAGCGGTGTCCCACTCTATGGGAAAAGGCCAAGAGCGGCAGGGCTACCTCACATCATGTGAGATCATTGTCTATCTAATCCATTTGCAGCAATTATCAGAATTAAGGTTACATTGCGACAAGCCGCGCTTACAATTTAAACACTGCTTAAGGTCTGATCTGACTCGTGGAAATGTGTGGGACTACAAGCCAGAGTTTCAGGAGAAGGGTGGTGTGGTCAGTTCATTCAGGCCTGGTTTGAGTGGGCTGCTGGGGAACCAGTATGTGTCAGCCTCACACCTCAGCCCCACTCATGTTCCAGTGCAGGCAGATTAAATGTGTACTGTACAGTTGGCGGAAGGTGAGACTGGGCTTCAAGGGAAAGTCATTGTCATTTCAGACTGTGCTGTTTCTTCTCATGAAAACAGTGAGAATGTGCACCACAAGTAAACAGGGCATCACTATGTACATTTCAGGGACCAGGAGGGCTGTTCTTAGCCAACAAAGGTTACAGCTATTGTGTTGTAATGTCTAAACCCACTGATAGTTTATACATATTACACACAAGTTGACAACCTGACTAGAATAATCGTAATTTAGAAATTATTTTATATTATAAACTGGGTGGTTCGAGCCCTGAATGCTGATTGGCTGACAGCCGTGGTATATACCATGGTTATGACATAATATTTATTTTTACTGCTCTAATTATGTTGGTAACCAGTTTATGTTTGCAACGCCAGGGTTGTGGGTTCGATTCCCACGGGGGGCCAGTATGAAAAATAATAATAATGTATGCACTCACTAACTGTAAGTCGCTCTGGATAAGAGCGTCTGCTAAATGACTCAAATGTAAATGTATAATAGCAAGGCCATATACCACACCCCCTCGGGCCCCAAGCCATATACCACACCCCCTCGGGCCCCAAGCCATATACCACACCCCCTCGGGCCCCAAGCCATATACCACACCCCCTCGGGCCCCAAGCCATATACCACACCCCCTCGGGCCCCAAGCCATATACCACACCCCCTCGGGCCCCAAGCCATATACCACACCCCCTCGGGCCTTATTACTTAAATAAACCATGTTACATACTAAATACAGATGCAGTATGTACAGTATTTTGCATTTCTTTACAGGATCTTATAGAATAAATAGAATGTGGAAAGTTCTATCTGTGTCAGTATTCTATAACTTCATGTTCTTATGCTTTGTGGGGGGGGGGGGTCAACTAAGACAAGTATTCAAGAGAGTTCAAGAGGACAGCACCGCCCACTTCTCCCTGATCACACAGAACCAAGGCATCCTATAAATAACATCTAATGTCAATGATATGTAGGCCACATTATCTAAGGATTTAAGACTTTTATCTCAGTGTGAAACTGCGATTGATCTTCAAAACACATATGGGGTGCGAGGTTGTTCAGAGTGCAGAAGAAGAAAGAATCACTACAGGCTACACAAAACAGTCCCAAAAACAAAAAGCATACACACACACACACATGCTGTGTACATGTTACTGTATACGGAAACACTAAAGATATTTACAGTTGGTCTATTCCTGCCGTTATACGAGGAATCATTGAAGTTAAACCACAACTTGTTTTGCCCTGAGCCGTGTCACTTGCCTTGTGTTTTCCCCCTGCAGTGCATGGTGCACACAGGAAGTATCGCAGCACAAGAGTCCCCGTCACAGTTTCCACACTCTTCAGAAAACCACGGGGGGCTCCATTTGTCAGCCAACCACACCAATAACAGGATGACAGGGTCTCAAAATACAGCATTTAACAAAAAGCTCTCTTATTCGACACCCTTTGAGATATATTTACAGAACTGCTTTGATCATGTACTTGGAATGTGTTTCTGAATACTGTGGCATATGGGTAGTAGAGGCCCTGCAGTCATGCACAGCACACAAACACACACACACACACACACAAACACACACACACAAACACACACAAACACACACAAACACACACGCACACACAAACACACACACACACACACACAAACACACACGCCCATGCCTGTATTTCCACTTTGTCTATTCTGATGACATCTGTCTAGATCTTAAAAAATATGAACTATTGCCATATTACAAACGACTGAAGTATTTCCTGCTTTTTTCAAGCTTTATTTCTCAGCTTCGATGTGAATTCTTCGTGTCATGTCAAGTGATTGTTAAAGTAAGTTTGAGTAAAGTTTTTTCTCAGAGCCAGAGGAAGGGAGAGAAGCTGCCTGTGTTTCTATAACAGGAGATGGGGGGGGGGGTTGAGGAATATAAGAACATTCAAACTAAACAGACAAGCCTAGGAGCTGGGCAAGTTGAACTGTCTGCATGCCAGGAATTACTGGACCAAATGCTACCTAGAGTGACAGCACACACGTACACACACACACACACACACACACACACACACACACATACACAAACACACATATACACAAACACACACACACACATACACAAACACACACACACACATACACAAACACACACTACATTCTTTCACCCTCCGAGTCTCCTTTTCTTTCACCTCTCTTTGTTTGAGTTCTGAGGAGAGAGATTCGTATACACATATATATATATATATATAGACCCAGTGACCGACACAGAGCTGGCCCTCAGTAGTAAAGCCTATTATAACTGACATATATATATATATATATATATATATATATATATATATATATATAGACCCAGTGACCGACACAGAGCTGGCCCTCAGTAGTAAAGCCTATTATAACTGACATATATATATATATATATATATATATATATATATATATATATATATATATATATATATATATATATATATATATAGACCCAGTGACCGACACAGAGCTGGCCCTCAGTAGTAAAGCCTATTATAACTGACATATATATATATATAGACCCAGTGACCGACACAGAGCTGGCCCTCAGTAGTAAAGCCTATTATAACTGACATATATATATATATATATATATAGACCCAGTGACCGACACAGAGCTGGCCCTCAGTAGTAAAGCCTATTATAACTGACATATATATATATATATATATATATATATATATATAGACCCAGTGACCGACACAGAGCTGGCCCTCAGTAGTAAAGCCTATTATAACTGACATATATATATATATATATAGACCCAGTGACCGACACAGAGCTGGCCCTCAGTAGTAAAGCCTATTATAACTGACATATATATATATATATATATATATATATATATATATATATATATATATATATATATATATAGACCCAGTGACCGACACAGAGCTGGCCCTCAGTAGTAAAGCCTATTATAACTGACATATATAGGAAAATAGAGGAAAAGGGAATAAAGGAGTGGCTGAAAATAGAAAGATTGATGTCCTTTGACCTCTGAAAGGGGGTCTGTCCTTTGACCTCTGAAAGGGGGTCTGTGAAACAGCCAATTGTAGCTGGGAACTGATGGTCTATTGTTGACTCCCTCACCACTTCTGTGGGCTCATTAGTCCTCTGTAGCTCAGCTGGTAGAGCACGGCGCTTGTAACGCCAAGGTAGTGGGTTCGATCCCCGGGACCACCCATACACAAAAATGTATGCACGCATGACTGTAAGTCGCTTTGGATAAAAGCGTCTGCTAAATGGCATATTATTATTATTATTAGCCTTCTATTGCTGACTCCCTCACCACTTCTGTGGGCTCATTAGCCTTCTATTGCTGACTCCCTCACCACTTCTGTGGGCTCATTAGCCTTCTATTGTTGACTCCCTCACCACTTCTGTGGGCTCATTAGCCTTCTATTGTTGACTCCCTCACCACTTCTGTGGGCTCATTAGCCTTCTATTGTTGACTCCCTCACCACTTCTGTGGGCTCATTAGCCTTCTATTGTTGACTCCCTCACCACTTCTGTGGGCTCATTAGCCTTCTATTGTTGACTCCCTCACCACTTCTGTGGGCTCATTAGCCTTCTATTGTTGACTCCCTCACCACTTCTGTGGGCTCATTAGCCTTCTATTGTTGACTCCCTCACCACTTCTGTGGGCTCATTAGCCTTCTATTGTTGACTCCCTCACCACTTCTGTGGGCTCATTAGCCTGCCTCTGATGTGGAACAATCCCTGGGCTCTCAACTGGGCCTGACACACATGAGAACTGTAAAACTCAGATAACTGAGTGATCACCAACTTATTAACAAACCTTACAGCTATTCTAGTCGGAGCACAGACATCCTTTGATACAATGGCATAGCTACGAATAATAACACCACACTTTATTGCAAATGAAATAGGATACAGGTAAATATGAAGGGGAGTATGCAAATTCTCCTACAATATAAATAGAAATCAATGAGATCATGTGACAGCACGCTGGCCTCATAATAAATAAATAACTATGTGAGGTAGTAGAACTGAGTAGCAGGCTAGTTTACATCTAGATTCAGAGTAGTGTTATGCTGACCATCAATCAGTCCTGGCCTGGAACTGCTGTACAGTAGAGAGCCCTGACTGACCGCATGCCAATGGCTAACATACTGATATTCAGTAAGCCATTGTCTGTGTGAGGACCCACGGGCATCTCATCTACACTATGGCCCTCTTGGACGAGCTCCAGAACGCTGTCCCTCTCTAGCAAATGACATGGTCTTTACTAGGCCTGTTTGATGACAAACAATGTGGCGTTATTTCCTTCTATCCAGTCAGACATCCCCTGAATAGGACCAGTGATAATCAGGAGTGATAATCAGGAGTGATAATCAGGCTCCATTTGTCACAAGGCTATTCTGATCTTAACTTTGTGAATAATCTGTGAAATTTACATTTTGACTTGAGTTCCCTCTGTGTGTTCTTTGCTAGCAATAGATAAATCGTTGACAACTCAGTATAAATAAATAAAGAACACAAGACCTACAATTGTACATCCAAGGGCATGTTGGTCCATAATTACTCAAATCAACAGAAAGCTCAAATTGATCATCTGATTCCCTTACAGCTCAGCAACCACTCCTTCTAGTCCAATACGTGGCTGTTTGTTTCCTGGAATAGTCTAATTTCACAAAGACTACAAGAGTTGGGAGATTACATCTGTTGAGAAATATAACACTCAAGAGATGTGTAATCTGAAAGCTCAGTTGTGGGTGAAAGAATGAATGGAAAAAGGCTGTACTCATATATTTGACTCTGGTTTGGTATTCCGCTGTGACATCACGGAGAGCAGGAAACATCATAACTTCCTGTTTTGTGAACTCTGGTACAGTGTCGTCTGAAAAAGAGGCATGTAAAACGTTAAGATGATATGTGATGCAAATGATCTCACATGGAACCCCTACCCTCCTGCCCCATTAGACTGTACTTTGTGTCTCCTTTCATTGTCATGTCTATTTTCTTTGTAACAATGCTCAATAATGAGCAACAATGTGTAATGTTTGCAATTATCCTTAATGATCATCCATTGAGAAGGGAACTTATTTATGAGGGCTTATTTACGATGGGTTCAAAATAGATTTCCATTAAGAAAAATACCCTGAACATACCACGTGGATACCTCGGAGACCGGTTAGGCTCCCTCACTATGGCAACCATTTGAAGTGATTATATAATATAGGCCTGTGTTCATTACTTGCACAGTGAATCTACCTCAGTGCATTTTTAATGAGGATGGTTTCATAGCTGCCAACATGGTGACATCCTGTAGCTAAGCTAATGCAAACACACTAGACACTAGACTAGTCTGACTGATGTTCATGTATTTTAGGTAGAACTGCAGAAGATGGAGAATATGCAGAGCCGAGAGTGAGCCTGCAGCAGGGAGAAGTCCTGTCAGGGAGGGAAGCTCTCCTCTCTCTTATCTGCTGCACTGTGTGGGTCGTTGCCATGGGGACACAATGATGCTGAGGAGAGGGAGGGAAGGGGTTACACAGTTTTGCAGATGGTATCACAGGTGCAGCGAAACGCTTATGTTTCTAGCTCCAACAGTGCAGTAATATCTAGCAATACAATGTATTGACATGTCCGGAATATAAGTATATATATACACTACCAGTCAAAAGTTTGGACACACCTACTCATTCAAGGGTTTTTCTTTATTTTTACTATTTTCTACATTGTAGCACTTTGTGGTTTTTGCGACTGCACTTGAAGTTCCGTATTGACTGACCTTCATGTCTTAAAGTAATGATGGACTGTCGCTTCTCTTTGCTTATTTGAGCTGTTCTTGACATAATATGGACTTGGTCTTATACCAAGTAGGGCTATCTTCAGTATACCCCCCATAACTTTTCGCAACAAAACTGATTGGCTCAAACGCATTAAGAAGGAAATAAATTCCACAATTAACTTTTAAGAAGGCACACCTGTTAATTGAAATGCATTCCAGGTGACTACCTCATGAAGCTGGTTGAGAGAATGCCAAGAGTGTGCAAAGCTGTCATCAAGGCAAAGGGTGACTATTTGAAGAATCTCAAATCTCAAATATATTTTGATTTGTTTAACACTTTTTTGGTTACTACATGATTCCATATCTGTTATTTCATAGTTTTAATATCTTAACTATTATTATACAATTTTAAAAATAGTAAAAATAAAGAAAAACCCTTGAATGAGTAGGTGTTTCTATGCTTCCCATTCTTAACTTTTGGTTTTGTACACCAGCTTCAAACAGCGGAAAATACCATATTTTTGGTTTTGGAAAATATATTCCACAGCGGTTTAGATGGTACAATGATTCTCTACACTATACTTGCTTGTTTTGTCACATAAACTGAAATTAGGCAAACTATTAGAATTTTAGCAACCAGGAAATGGCAGAGCGATTTCTGCATAGTGCATTTTTGTTGTTGTAGTGGGGACAGTAACATTAGAACTTTCAAAAAATTATACTTTAAGGAAAATGTTTTTTGTTATATATATAAAAAATATATACACTGTATATATATGTTTAGCTCACATAATATAATAAGAAAGTATGCATTAGGGTGTCTGTAATAAAATAAACGTGGCAAAAACAAATGTAGACTTCAATAAATGCATTTCTATAGCTTCCAAAATCTTTTTTTACAACGGTGGGGGAGTGCCAAGATGGAGGCGCAGTGGCTTCAAAACAGCGCCACCGTCAATCATCTAGTGCAGTGTTTCCCAACCCTGGTCCTCGAGTACCCTCAACAGTACACAGTTTCGTTGTAGCCCTTGACAAACACACCTCATTCAACCCATTCATGGCCTGATGATTAGTTGAAAAGTTGAATCAGGTGTGCTTGTCCCGGGTTACAATAAAAATTTGTACTGTTGGAGATACACGAGGACCAGGGTTGGGAAACACTGATATAGACAGTATGGACAGTACCTGAATAGAAAAGGTGTGTACAGGAGTAGTTATATAGGATGAGCCATGAATAGAATACAGTACATATATATAAAGCGGGTAAAACAGTATGTTAAAACATTATTAAAGTGACCAGTGTGCAATGACTCAATGTACTGTACATAGGGAAGCAGTCTCTAAGGTGCAGGGTAGAGTACCGGGTGGTAGCCGTGACAATGTCTAAGGTTCAGGACAGGGTACTGGGGGTACAGTGTACAGAGTACCAGGCCTGGAGATAGAAGCTGTTTAAATGAACAGACTCTCGGTCCCAGCTTTGATGCACCTGTGCTGTCGTCACCTTCTAGATGGTGAACAGGCCTTGGCTCAGGTGGCTGAGGTCCTTGATGATCTTCTTGGCCTTTCTGTGACACAGAGTGCTGTAGATGTCCTGGAGGGCACTTAATAGATGATTACTGTTCAGAAGACTATCAGAAACCTATTCCATTGCCAAAAATACAGTACATTTACTCACATACAGTGCATCGGAAAGTGATCAGACCCCTTGACTTTTTCTACATTTTGTTACGTTACAGCCTTATTCTAAAATTGATTACATTTTTAAAAATCCTCATCAATCTACACACAATACCCCATAATGACAAAGTGAAAACAGGTTTGTAGAATTTTTTGCAAATGAAAAAACAGAAATACCTTATTTACATAAGTATTCAGACCCTTTGCTATGCAACTTGAAATTGGGCTCAGGTGCATCCTTTTTCTGGAAGACTAGTCAGGATCGAGGGGAAAGATGAATGGAGCAAAGTACAGAGAGATCCTTGATGAAAACCTGCTCCAGAGCGCTCAGGACCTCAGACTGGGATGAAGGTTCATTTTCCATCAGGACCTTAAGCACACAGCCAAGACAACACAGGAGTGGCTTTGGGACAAGTCTCTGAATGTCCTTGAGTGGCCCAGCCAGAGCCCGGACTTGAGTCCGATCGAACATCTCTGGAGAGACCTGAAAATAGCTGTGTAGCGACGCTCCCCATCCAACCTGACAGAGCTTGAGAGGATCTGCAAAAAAGAATGGGAGAAACTCCTCAAATACAGGTGTGCCAAGTTGTAGTGTCATACCCAAGAAGTCTTGAGGCTGTAATCGCTGCCAAAGGTGTTTCAACAAAGTACTGAGTAAAGGGTCTGAATACTTATGCAAAAAATATATATATTATACATAAAAAAACCTGTTTGTGCTTTGTCATTATGGGTTATTGTGTGTAGATTGATGAGAGGGAAAACAATTTAATCCATATTAGAATAAGGCTGTAATGTAACAAAATATGGAAGAAGTCAAGGGGTCTGAATACTTTCCGAATGCACTGTATGTATTTGCTTTCTCCACAACAGAGAAAATTCTATCACTGAGAAAACACAAGTTATGAGGTGGTAATAGTACCTGTGATAACTGTTGTAAGAACATTAGTTGTTGGTGCTGTAAGCAACAGTCGGCTATCACATCATATGTTTCCCAAGCCACTACAATATAATTTCACAAAATGATTGTCATCATTATCACATTGCTAGTCGCATATAAGATTGTTGTAATTATTTAAACGACTGTTCAATTGACTTGACAGTTGAGTTTTGTTATTGAAAATAGAAAAGAGAAAGCAGGCCATAATGGCTGGCAGGCTGGATAGACTAATGGCTGGCAGGCTGGATAGACTAATGGCTGGCAGGCTGGATAGACTAACGGCAGGCAGGCTGGATAGACTAATGGCTGGCAGGCTGGATAGACTAATGGCTGGCAGGCTGGATAGACTAATGGCTGGCAGGCTGGATAGACTAATGGCAGGCAGGCTGGATAGACTAATGGCAGGCAGGCTGGATAGACTAATGGCTGGCAGGCTGGATAGACTAATGGCTGGCAGGCTGGATAGACTAATGGCTGGCAGGCTGGATAGACTAATGGCTGGCAGGCTGGATAGACTAATGGCTGGCAGGCTGGATAGACTAATGGCAGGCAGGCTGGATAGACTAATGGCTGGCAGGCTGGATAGACTAATGGCTGGCAGGCTGGATAGACTAATGGCTGGCAGGCTGGATAGACTAATGGCAGGCAGGCTGGATAGACTAACGGCAGGCAGGCTGGATAGACTAATGGCTGGCAGGCTGGATAGACTAATGGCTGGCAGGCTGGATAGACTAATGCTTGAGAGTGAATCCCTGGACTGGACCTGAGTCAGAAAGTAGGACAGATGACATAACAACCTTTGGGTTAGGGTTATTGTGCACAGCGCATTTGGGTGGAAGTGTCTAGGAACGAGATTAGTCACATAGCAGCCTACTGTAGGCCCCCTCATACTGCAGAAACACTGACCAATTAGTCCAGCAGATATACCCAAACATACCCAAGATGGTGCACTTTATGATAAAAGTATCAAACTTGGTACACTATTCCTAGATACTTTAAGGAACATTTTAAAGATTAGAGGCAGTCTGGGAAGCCTGTCAGTCAACCAGGGTGGCCATTTTAATAAAATGGCTACCATTCGGATTTTCTTAGAAGAAACTAGGGTAAAATAATTCCAAACAATATCAAAATGACTGGGGGTACATATTGAGGTCATTTTGACGATAGTCCAGCTACTAAAATAAAAATTGGCATGTCTAAATAAAGTATTTTTGGTTGTAGTGCCATCACAGATTTTGTCCATTACCCCCCTGGCGGCCATTTCCAATTTGGCCGCCAACCAGCTGCATGGGGCCATATTGGACACCATTCACATGGCCATATCTGTCACGATCGTCTACCAATGAGGAAGCGGACCAAAGCGCAGCGTTGCGAGTGAACATAATTTATTAATAAACGTACTCACGAAAACAAAACAAAAGACGATACGTGAAGTTCTCAAGTTACAAATCACTGACATACGGAAACATGTAACCAAGAAACAAAAACCCACAAACCCCACAGGAAAACATACAGAATAAATATGGCTCCCAATCAGAGATAACGAGCCGAACAGCTGACACTCGTTACCTCCGATTGGGAGTCATTGAACAAACCTAGAAAAACAACAACCTAGACACCCAACCTAGAACATAAACACATAGACTGCACACACCCTGGATAAACAATAATGAGTCCCAGCACCAGGGTGTGACAGTACCCCCCCCTAAAGGCGCGGACTGCGACCGCGCCTCAAAACCCCCAAACAGGGGAGGGCTGGGCGGGCATACCTCCTCGGTGGCGGTTCTGGCTCCGGCCTAGACCACCACCCCACCATAGTCACTTCCCGCTTATGTAGCCTCCTCCAAATGACCCCCACCGGTTTAAGGGGCAGCACCTGACTAAGGGGCAGTACCGGACTAAGGGGCAGTACCGGACTAAGGGGCAGTACCAGGCTGAATGGCGAATCCTGGCTGGTCGGCTCTGGCGGATCCCGGCTGGACGGCTCTGGCGGATCCCGGCTGGACGGCTCTGGCGGATCCCGGCTGGACGGCTCTGGCGGATCCCGGCTGGACGGCTCTGGCGGATCCCGGCTGGACGGCTCTGGCGGATCCCGGCTGGACGGCTCTGGCGGATCCCGGCTGGACGGCTCTGGCGGATCCCGGCTGGACGGCTCTGGCGGATCCCGGCTGGACGGCTCTGGCGGATCCCGGCTGGCGGAAGGCTCTGGCTGATCCTGTCTGGCGGAAGGCTCTGGCTGATCCTGTCTGGCGGAAGGCTCTGGCTGCTCCTGTCTGGCGGAGAGCTCTAGCGGCTCCGGTCTGGCGGACGGCTCTGTAGGCTCATGGCAGACGGGCGGCTTTGCAGGCTCATGGCAGACGGGCAGCTCCTGCGGCGCTTGGCAGACGGACAGTTCAGACGGCGTTGGGCAGACGGGCAGTTCAGGCGCCGTTGGGCAGACGGGCAGTTCAGACGGCGTTGGGCAGACGGGCAGTTCAGACGGCGTTGGGCAGACGGACAGTTCAGGCCCCGTTGGGCAGACGGCAGACTCTGGCCGTCTGAGGCGCATCGTAGGCCTGGTGCGTGGTGCCGGAACTGGTGGTCCCGGGCTGAGGACACGCATCTCAGGGCTAGTGCGGGGAGCAGCAACAGGACGCACAGGACTCTGGGAACACACAGGAGGCTCGGTGCGTGGTGTAGGCACTGGTGGTACTGGGCTGGAGCGGGGAGGTGGCGCCGGAAATACCGGACCGTGCAGGCGTACTGGCTCCCTTGAGCACTGAGCCTGCCCAACCCTACCTGGTTGTATGCTCCCCGTCGCCCGACCAGTACGGGAAGGAGGAATAACCCGCACCGGGCTATGTGGGCGAACCGGGGGAAACCATACGTAGGGCTGGTGCCATGTAAGCCGGCCCGAGGAGACGCATTGGTGGCCTGCTGCGTGGGGCCGGCCTCATGACATCCGGCTCAACACTCAATCTAGCCCGGCCGATACGAGGAGCTGGAATGTACCGCACCGGGCTATGCCTGCGTACAGGAGACACCATGCGCTCTACTGCGTAACATGGTGTCTGCCCGTACTCCCGCTCTCCACGGTCAGTCCAGGGAGTAGGCGCAGGTCTCCTACCTGCCTTCGCCACACTCCCTTTTAGCCCCCCCCCAAGAAATTTTTGGGGAGTAACCACGGGCTTCCAGCCTCGACTCCGCGCTGCCTCCTCATACCACCTCCTCTCGGCTGCAGCTGCCTCCAGCTCTTCACGAGGGCGGTGGTACTCCTCTGGTTGTGCCCAAGGACCCTTTCCAGCCCGTATCTCCTCCCATGTCCAAAAGTCCTTAGGAGGCTCCCATAAATCCTGCGTAGGTAGGTCCTGTTGCCGCTTGTTACGCCGCTTGGTCCTCTTGTGGTGGGTTTTTCTGTCACGATCGTCTACCAATGAGGAAGCGGACCAAAGCGCAGCGTTGCGAGTGAACATAATTTATTAATAAACGTACTCACGAAAACAAAACAAAAGACGATACGTGAAGTTCTCAAGTTACAAATCACTGACATACGGAAACATGTAACCAAGAAACAAAAACCCACAAACCCCACAGGAAAACATACAGAATAAATATGGCTCCCAATCAGAGATAACGAGCCGAACAGCTGACACTCGTTACCTCCGATTGGGAGTCATTGAACAAACCTAGAAAAACAACAACCTAGACACCCAACCTAGAACATAAACACATAGACTGCACACACCCTGGATAAACAATAATGAGTCCCAGCACCAGGGTGTGACAATATCTATATAAATAATTGGTACATACTGCCCAATGATGGCTTAAAATGCTTGAGGGGGTATGGAAAAAACTATAAAATGGCCAAAATATGCCATATATACATATCCTATAAAATGTTAGTAGAAAAGTTGTGAAAACAAAATTAATTTGTAAATGTTTTCATATCTAGTTCCAATAGTTTACATATAAACACTCTAAAATGTTATATGGGGGTTCCCTGAAGTCTACTGATTGCAATGATATTTAATTCATTACATGACCAAAAGTATGTGGACCCCTGCTCGTCAAACATCTCATTCCAAAATCATGGGCATTAATATGGAGTTGGTCCCCCCTTTGCTGCTATAACAGCCTCCACTCTTCTGGGAAGGCTTTCCACTAGATGTTGGAACATTGCTGCAGGGACATTCAGCCACAAGAGCATTAGTGAGGTCGGGCACTGATGTTGGGCGATTAGGCCTGGTTTGCAGTCGGCGTTCCAATTCATCCCAAAGGTGTTCGATGGGTTTGAGGTCAGGGCTCTGTGCAGGTCAGTCAAGTTCTTCCACACCGATCTCGACAAACCATTTCTGTATAGACATCGCTTTGTGCACGGGGGCATTGTCATGCTGAAACAGAAAAGGGCCTTCCACAAACTGTTGCCACAAAGTTGGAAGCACAGAATCGTCTAGAATGTCATTGTATGCTGTAGGGTTAAGATTTCCCTTCACTGGAACTAAGGGGCCTAGCCCGAACCATGAAAAACAGCCCCAGACCATTATTCCTCATCCACCAAACTTTACAGTTGGCACTATGCCTTTGGGCAGGTAGCATTCTCCTGGCATCCGCCAAACCCTGATTCGTCTGTCGGACTACCAGATGCTGAAGCGTGATTCATCACTCCAGAGAATGCGTTTCCACTGCTCCAGAGTCCAATGGTGGTGAGCTTTACACCACTCCAGCTGATGCTTGGCATTGTGCATGATGACCTCAGGCTTGTGTGCGGCTGCTCAGCCATGGAGACCCATTTCATGAAGCTCCCGACTAACAGTTATTGTGCTTACGTTGCTTCCAGAGCCAGTTTGGAACTCGGTAGCTAGTGATGCAACCGAGGACAGACGATTTTTATGCGCTAAACGCTTCAGCACTCGGTGGTCCCATTTTGTGAGCTTGTGTGGCCTACCACTTCGCGGCTGAACCATGTTGCTCCTAGAAGTTTCCACTTCACAATAACAGCACTTACAGTTGACCGGGACAGCTTTAGCAGGGCATACATTTGACGAACGGATTTGTTGGAAATGTGGCATCCTATGACGGTGCCACATTGAATAAAGATGTCTAGCTATAGTGTCATTGCAGATTTAACCTGTTACACTCAGTGGTGTAGTGCAATTTTTTTGGGTTCTAGAGCGCAAAATAAATAAACAAATGACATCATAATTTCTCAATCAATGTTTGCACCGTAGCCTACTGAATAATATTATTTTATATGCAGAAAATGCATCATCCAAATGCAATTCCTGCCTATGCCTACCCACATTGACAAATACATTTTTGTATTTTTTAATACCCTCAAACACCAAATTAGGCCATATCTACATAAATAATTTGGTACATACAGCCCAATTATGGTTTTAAATGTTTGAGGGGGTCTGGAGAACACAATAAGTATGCCATATATATGTATATTTTAAATATCTTGTAGAAAAGTGGTGAAAAAGTGCCCCGAAATTTTTTTAACATACTTTCATCCTCATTTTCAGTATTTTACATTTAAATACTTCAAACTGTCAAATGAGTGTTCCCTAAAGTCTCCTGACTGCAATGACAGATAATATGATATTCTGTAATGTGTCAATAAATAAATAAAAATTACAAGAAAACATCACTCTACTTACTTCCCTGTACTTAGAATGTTGAAAATGGAACCATGGACATATGGCCATTCCAATAGAACTGTGTTTTTGAATGGGATGTATGGTTGATACTAAGGCTTTGATTACTTATTATGCAAGCACTGTTTTGTCACATGTTATATATCATTATAATCCACAGATATTTTGAAAACATTAGCAGCATGCTGAAATGTGATCCTCTCAATCGAGGGATCAAACTATTTTAAAAAATCTGTGATTTGGACAGCATTTTTTGACATTTTTTGTAATGTTTTCAAAAATGTATTTTTTTTTTTTTTTTTTTTACATTATCCATTTGATGGTATTTTCCACACTATCTTGAACATTTTAAGCCATCATTAGGCTTGAAGACATTGTTACAGGTTTTGGTTTTTCTATTTATGTTTTGAGGTTAGACTTTTAGCACGCTAGCACGTAGGGTGCACCGATTGGTGTCACCTCGTTAGGCAGTATGTGTTACACCTGTGCTGGTTTACCATCTCATTAGTGGGAAGGTGTTTCACCTGTGCTGGCCCAGGTGCTATTTAAGAGTGGCTGGCCCAGTGCTCCAGTTGTCGTGAGAGACGTGGAGGATCAACACCTTTAGATTTGATTTCTAGAAAAAACATTCCTTAGTCTGATTTCGTTTTAATCCACCTTTTTGGTTTGCTTCCTGTCTTTAAGTTTTGTGTGGGTTTTTCTTTTGTTTCCCTCTTCTTGGGCAAATTTAGTCATGGTGGGTGTCTTTTAGGTTCCAGTAGTTGTTGCGAGTCAACTTTCAGTGGACATAATCAGAATTATTGTCTATATCATCTGTGGGTACATAACATTAAAGTCATTTTGATATTGTTTGAAATTATTTTACCCTATTTACTTCTAACAGGAAGTCCGAATGGCAGCCATTTTATTAAAATGGCAGCCCTGGTTGACTGACAGGCTTCCAAGACTGCCTCCAATCTTTAAAATGTTCCTTAAGGTATCTAATATTAGTGTACCAAGTTTGATACTTTTATCATAAAGTGCACGATTATTTCACCTATCAACTGGACTATAAGGGAAGCATTCTGCCAGCCTCTAACTTCTTTCTCATTTCATGCAGTCAAAGAACATCTGATGGCATTAGATGAGATGTGACCGCTTTGTTTTGGCCTATTTTGCAAATGCAAAATCAAGGAAGTCTGCCAGGAACCTCTGACCCAGATAAGCAGATTGAAATAGGGAGCATGCTCAGTTGAGATATCGCTGCTCGAGGGCTTTATTGCGCCCTCGGTTTGAGTTCAAAGTACCCGCCACAGAGAACAAAACAGAGGCAGAACCGAAAACATCTCTATCGGATCGATCTCTGTTACTTGTGTGTTCAAAAAATAACATTGTACTCACATATTATCCTGAAGATTGCAATAAAGTTCTCTTTGTGCTCTCTAGAATTCCTCCACTGTTTGAGCCCCAAACGCGGGGCAACCACAGCACCACTTTCTCACCTAACCAGCATATTGCAATCTTTAAAAAAAATTAGCTCCGGTGCAACAGTAGACAGTGGATAAGTGCATAGTGCCGAGTAAGGGACTCTCCTGTATTGAACCAGAAACACCCCATCTGCAACAGAGTAGGCTTTGGCACCCAATTGCGTACATAAAGCAAGCTTATATGATCACAGGTCTAGTGATATACTGTATAGTGAAATATGTTATGCAACCCACAAATCTGCCATAAACAACTTCATGCAATAGCATAGCCTACGGTTTGATTTGGGGACAAAGTGCCCAGAATAGGCTACCTAGTTTGCGCAAAACATCTTGCACCATCATCTTGCATTGAGTGAGTCTTCCTAAAAATATATTGAAATTTTGTGGAAGGAAATGTTTTTGCGGCCATTGAAATAAATTGACACATTTTACTGATTAACATTTAGAATAAATATAATTGATCTGTCACCTAGCTGCCCCAAGAGTAACATATGACCGCTAAACCATTAGGCCATTGGAAACAATAGTGATTTGTAATTTTGTTGTGAACTATTGCATATAATATAATAATATGCCATTTAGCAGACGCTTTTATCCATAATTTTTTTTGTGTGTGTGTATGGGTGGTCCCGGGAATCGAACCCACTACCCTGGCGTTACAAGCGCCGTGCTCTACCATAACAACAATTATTAATTTTTACAAGTAGCCTATTTACACTAATTCTCACTAGCCTAGTTTTAATAGCCCCTTGGAATGTATGTGCATCAAATTCCACTGTTTTGGGTACAGACATTAGTTATTGCCTCAAATCGTGCTGGATCTGAACAGGTCTCGCACATTTATTGCAGAGCTCTGATCAGCGTTGCCCCCCTCATTAGGAAACTCCTAATAAGGGCAAGGAAGTGGAAACTCACCGGAACTGGTCCGTGTGAAGGCACGACCTTATATGGCATGTCGTAGCTGGGGTTTCCGGCAATGGCGGTGCGCTGCAAAGATAGGAAGTGTGCATTTACTCCGAAAACCACGGCAAAACAGCAGCGACCGTCGTGTATTTCTATAGGAAAACTATTTTTGTTATAATATACACCGTGTGAAATCTCTGAATATTGCAGAATATGTTGATAAACAGTCTCCCGCCCTCCCCATTTACTCCGACAAGCCTTCCGTGTCCTCAACTGCTTGCCTAAATATGGTCTTCCTCCTGTCCTAATTTGGACATCTACGTCACGGCAAGAGGCTTTATAAAGCAGTGGGAATCCTCAGCCTGGCGAAACAGCACTCGGAGCAAAACAGAGCTCATTTCAGTACAGAGCAGGAAGCCCCATAGTACGCTAGCGAAATTATTCTAACCAAACACGTGAACTAAAATAGAAAAAGTTAATCAAAAGGGAAAACACAACAACTACACATTTATTGATTACAAGTCGGGATTACCAGAAGAAAAAATAATGTTTTCATTCCTATACTTATGGGAATGAATTAACCACAACATCGTTTTTTTAAAGACTGGGATCTTTTGCGAAGTTGAATGCAGCAAAGTCTTGCAGATCTTTCAGCATTGGATTCCTCAGACCATCCTACTCAACAAGAGCAGCAGCAGGATCATCAGCTGGCTGGTAACCTCTCACCTGAGACAAAAAGCTGCAGTGTCAGCAGCGTCTCCACCTCCTCTGTTTCTCCAGACAGCCAGAGCACCGGCAGCACAGCACCATGGCTGCAGCCAAGACAGAGATGCTCCCCTCAGCCCTGCAGATCTCAGACCAACTGGGCTTCCCCTACTCTCCCATGGACAGCTACCCCAAGCTGGAGGAGATGATGTTGCTCCACTCAGCAGGGACCCCCTTCCTGGCTGCCTCTGCGCCAGAGGGTGTAGGCTTTGGGACCGGGGAGCCAGGAGACTCGTACAACCACCTGACTGGAGGTAGGGGCTGCTCCAACTCCTAACTCTTTATGCTTTTATACATCATACACATTCAGAAATATGCATGGGAATGTGCATAATCAATGGTGTTGCATTTCAGTTCTGACATAGGCTGCAGTCTATGCAAAAAATAGGAATACGCTAAGAGGTTTTGATAAATAGCTTTACAAAATAATAATAATAATAATAATTACTATTATAGTGCATAGAGCTATACCAGTATTTGTCTTTTTTGATGATTTAAATTATCTTGTACTGCGTCAGCACTTGCTCCTAGTAACTTGATGTATTTTGTATGAGCCAGTTGGATTGTCCTGTGCTTATATACGGCAGCTGTTTAACGCTCACTGTGTGTTGTTCTTTCAGATGCATTGCATGACATCTCTATCGGCTGTGACAAGTCTCTAATGGACCAGACCTACTCAACCCCTCGCCTTCCCTCCATCTCCTACACAGGGAGGTTCACCCTGGAGCCTGCAAACAGCTGCAGCAACAGCCTGTGGGCAGAGCCATTATACAGCCTGGTCAGTGGGCTGATGGGCATGTCCCAACCGCCCACCTCAGCTGCCCCATGCTCCTCTGCTGCTCCGGTCAGCTCCTCCTCCAACACCATGAGCTGGCCCGGCCAAATCGGCGACACCAGCCCCACCTACTGCAGCGTCAGCCCTGACCTCTTCCCTGACTCTAACCAGTCCTTCCCCAGTCCCTCAAACAGCTCAGTCCAATACCCACCACCCTCCTACCCCAGCAGCAAGACATGCTCCTCCAACATGACTCTGCCCATGATACCAGACTACCTGTTTCCCTCAGCAGCAGGGTGAGATCAGCTTGCTGCCCCCTGACCAGAAGCCTTTCCAGTGTCAGAGCATCCAGCAGCAGCTCTCCCTCACGCCCCTGTCCACCATCAAGGCTTTCGCCACACAGACTGGTTCTCAGGACCTGAAGGGCTCCTACCAGTCTCAGCTGGTCAAGCCTGGTTCTCAGGACCTGAAGGGCTCCTACCAGTCTCAGCAGGTCAAGCCTGGTTCTCAGGACCTGAAGGGCTCCTACCAGTCTCAGCAGGTGAAGCCCAGCCGCATGCGCAAGTACCCCAACCGCCAGTGCAAGACTCCGCCTCACAAGCGACTCTACCCCTGCCCCTTGGAGACGTGCGACAGCCGTTTCTCCCGTTCAGACGAGCTGACACGCCACATTCGCATCCACACGGGCCAGAAGCCCTACCAGTGCCGCATCTGCATGCGCAACTTCAGCCGCAGCGACCACCTGACCACGCACATCCGCACGCACACCGGCGAGAAGCCCTTCGCCTGCGAAATCTGCGGCCGCAAGTTTGCCCGCAGCGATGAGCGCAAACGGCACACCAGGATCCACCTGAGGGAGAAGGGCAGGAAGGTGGAGGAGGCGGGGTCCGCCCCCATGGCCATCCCTTCCCCAGTCTCAGGGTACTCCTCCCCCTCCACATCATACCCCTCTCCCAGCTCCTGCATACTCCTCCCCAGTGCCCTCCTGCTACTCCTCCCCAGTGCACAGCTCCTATGGCTCCCCATCGGTCAACACCATGTTCTCCTCAGTCTCCAGTACATTTCAGACGCAGGTGTCCACCTCGTACGGCTCCTCCACAAACATTTACAGCTCCCCAGTGGGCACTCCTCAGTCAGACCTGCAGTCCACCCTCTCTCCATAGAACATTGACATCTGCTAAGACTTTCATATCTTTACCTATCATTTATTTCTGTTTGAAAAGAACAAGCGAACAACATTGTTACCTTTTCGAATGCACTTTTACTCCCTCTGTGTCCATACAGCACTTAAAGATCATGAAACGTGACAGATAGCGACAGAGGATAGAAAGGGAACAGTTTCTCTCTTCAACTCAACCCCAGTACTTCAACCAGTCTTCAGATATGTAGAGAGCGAAAAAATATTAGGCTTTTGGTGGGACTGTTGATACTGACAACCTGAAATTCCAAAAGACTGATGATATGCAAACAGCCCCATGTCTTAGTGTACCTGTGCCAGGTTTTTGTTTTTCATATTTTTTTAGACTTTGTAGATGATCATTCTTTACATGGTATCATTATTGGAGACTTGATGGCACCATGTTTCTCTGAATACGTTTTCTCGTACGTAGCAACAATGGTGCGGCCATTTTATTGGAGAAGAACAATTAAAGTACTCAAGCATGTTTACTGTAAGACACATTTGTTTCTATTGCTTTGTATATTACCTACTGGTACTCTCTTCCCTGTTCCTTTCTTTTTCAACATGGAATAATGAACATTCTTCATTATCAAACATTTTGGTGCCTTTTTGTGAAGCTTTAGCAAACAAAACTCTGTTTGTGATTGGATGTTTTGCATCTGAAGAAGCCTTAGGGTGTAAAGTGTATTTTTCACGGAATGTAAGAGATTTTAAGGGATGATTTGGAGGGATCCGAGGTCATAGCTTACACAAGAATGTAAGTGGAAAAAAATGTATATTTTTAATAACTTGAAAGTAAATATGTACGTATTCAGGAGTCAATGTTGTTACCTACTGTGTAGGCATGGGATTTTTATGTTATTTACATGCAGTTCATTATTTTGTGGTTATTTTCATTTGTAATTGTTAAACCAAGTGACTGTTTTTGGTTTCTAAAGACATTGAATGCGCTTAATTGCCAAGGATATTTGGTGTACATGATATCCTTCAAGAAAAGGGATATTAATAAAATATCAATATATTATGAAAAAATTGAGTTTGCATTCTAATTTTCTAGATCAATATTTGCCCCACTCTAGCAGAGACATACACTCAAATGAAACATCAAAGCACACATTGATGGTATTTGTTCCAAATAAAATCAATCAATTTAAAATGAACAAAAGCGCATTAGGGCAGAAAATTGCATTTTCTGTCCAATACCACTATACTGTTCATGGAGAAGTACCAAAAATTGCAACGATGTCACATGCCCTCTTCTTCTCCTCCCTCTCTATCTGAGAGGAGTCAGACTGAGTGTTGTAATGAGTGAGATGTGTGCCTCCCTCACCTTCCCTGACACTGAGGGTATCCCTAATGGCACCATATTCCCCAGGGCCCTGATCAAAAGTAAGTAGTGCGATATACACTGTGTACAAAACATTATGAACACCTGCTCTTTCCATGAAAGACTGACCAGGTTAATCCAGGTGAAAGCTATGATCCCTTATTGATGTCACTTGTTAAATCCACTTCAATCAGTGTAGATGAAGGGGGGGAGACAGGTTAAAGAAGGATTTATAAACCTTGAGAAATCTGAGACATGGATTGTGTATGTGTGCCATTCAGAGGCTGAATGGGAAAGACAAAATATTTAAGTGCCTTTGAACGGGGTATGGTAGTAGGTGCCAGGTGTACTGGTTTGTGTGAAGAACTGCAACACTTCTGGGTTTTTCACGCTCAACAGTTTCCTGTGTGTATCAAGAATGGTCCACCACCCAAAGGACATCCAGCCAACTTGACACAACTGTGAGAAGCATTGGAGTCAACATGGGCCAGCATCCCTGTGGAACGCTTTCGACATCTTTGAGGCTGTTCTGAGGGCTAAAGGTGGGGCGTGCAACTCAATATTAGGAAGGTGTTCCTAATGTTCTGTACACTCAGTGTATAAGGAAAAGGGTGCAATTAGGGACACATCCGGTGTTAATAATAATAATATGCCATTTAGCAGACGCTTTTATCCAAAGCGACTTACAGTCATGCGTGCATAATTTTTTTTGTGTACGTGTGGTCCCGGGGATCGAACCCACTACCTTAGCGTTACAAGCGCCGTGCTCTACCAGCTGAGCTACAGAGAACCAACAGTTTTAGGCCTCTCCCTGCTGTCAACTCTCACACACTATTGTCAGCTCATGGCTCCCATGTGTGATGTTGTTAGCCATGTACAGTGCCTTCAGAAATATTCACACCCCTTGACTTTTTCCACATTCAGCCTGAATTTAGATTTTGTGTCACTGGCCTACACACAATACTCCATAATGTCAAAGTGGAATTATGTTTTTAGAAATGTTTACAAATCAATAAAAAATGAAAAGCTGCAATGTCTTGAGTCGTTAAGTATTCAACCCCTATATTATGGCAAGTCTAAATAAGTTCAACAAGTCACATAATAAGTTGCATGGACTCGCTCTGTGTGCAATAATAGTGTGTAACATGATTTTTGAATGGCAACCTCATCTCTGTACACCACACATACAATTATCTGTAAGATCCCTCAGTAGAGCAGTGATTTTCAAACACAGATTCAACCACAAAGACCAGGGTGGTTCTCCAATCCCTCGCAAAGAAGGGCACCTATTGATAGATGGGTAAAAAAAAAAAAAAAAATCAGACATTGAATATCTCTTTGAGCATGGCGAAGTTATTAATTACACTTTGGTTGGTGTATCAATACACCTAGTCACTACAAAGGTGCAGGCGTCCTTTCTAACTCAGTTGCCGGAGAGGAAGGAAACCGCTCAGGGATTACATCATGAGGCCAATGGTGACTTTAAAACAGTTACAGAGTTTAGTGGCTGTGATAGGAGAAAACTGAGTATGGATCAACAACATTGTAGTTACTCCACAATACTAACCTAAATGAAAGAGTGAAAAGAAGGAAGCCTGTACATAATAAAAATATTACAAAACATGCATCCTGTTTGCAATAAGGCACTAAAGTAAAACTGCAAAAAAGGTGGTAAATGAACTTTATGTCCTGAATACAAAGCATTATGTTTGGGGCAAATCCAACACATTACTGAGTACCACTCTTCATATTTTCAAGCATGGTGGTGGCTGTATTATGTTATGAGAATGCTTGTCATCGGCAAAGACTAGGGAGTTTTTTAGGATAAAAGAAACGGAATGGACCTAAGCACTGGCAAAATTCTAAAGGAAAACCTGGTTCAGTCTGCTTTCCAACAGACACCAGGAGACAAATTCACATTTCAGCAGGACAATAACCTAAAACACAAGGCTAAATATACACTGGAGTTGATTACAAAGACAACAGTGAATGTTCCTGAGTGGCCTAGTTTCAATTTTGACTTAAATCGGCTTGAAAATCTATATCAAGATTTGAAAATGGTTGTCTAGCAATGATCAACAACCAACTTGACAGAGCTTGAAGAATTTTAAAAAGAATAACATGCAAATATTGTACAATCCAGGTGTGCAAAGCTCTTAGAGACTTACCCAGAAAGACTCACAGCCAAAGGTGATTCTAACATGTATTGACTCAGGGGTGTGAATGTCAAATCAAATCGTATTTGTCACATGCAGTGAATACAATAGGTGTAGACCTTTCAGTGAAATGCTTACTTACAAGCCCGTAACCAACAATGCAGGGGGGGCGGCAATGCAAATAGTCTGGGTAGCAATTTGATTTGATGTTTAGGAGTCTTATGGCTTGGTGATAGAAGCTGTTTAGATGCCTCTTGGACCTAGACTTGGCGCTCCAGTACCGCTTGCCATGCGGTAGCAGAGAGAACAGTCTATGACTAGGGTGGCTGGAGTCTTTGACAATTTTTAGGGCCTTCCTCTGACACTGCCTGGTATAGAGGTCCTGGATGGTAGGACGCTTGGCCCCAGTGATGTACTGGGCCGTACGCATTACATTTACATTACATTTACATTACATTTACATTTGAGTCATTTAGCAGACGCTCTTATCCAGATCGACTTACAGGAGCAATTAGGGTTAAGTGCCTTGCTCAAGGGCACATCAGCAGATTTTTCACCTAGTCGGCTCGGGGATTAGAACCAGCGCCCTTTCGGTTACTGGCACAACGCTCTTAACCACTAAGCTACCTGCCGCCCAGAGGAATTACCCTCTGTAGTGCCTTGCGGTCGGAGGCCGAGCAGTTGCCATACCAAGCAGTGATGCAACCAGTCAGGACGCTCTCGATGGTGCAGCTGTAGAACCTTTTGAGGATCTGAGGACCCATGCCAAATCTTTTCAGTCTCCTAAGGGGGAATAGGTTTGTCGTGCCCTCTTCACAACTGTCTTGGTGTGCTTGCACCATGTTAGTTTGTTGGGGATGTGGACATCAAGGAACTTGAAGCTCTCAACCTGCTCCACTACAGCCCCGTTGATGAGAACGGGAGTGTGCTCGGTCCTCTTCTTTTTCCTGTAGTCCACAATTTTCTCCTTTGTCTTGATCACGTTGAGGGAAAGGTTGTTGTTCTGGCACCACATGGCCAGGTCTCTGACCTCCTCCCTATAGGCTGTCTCATCGTTGTCTGTGATCAGGCCTACCACTGTTGTGTCATCGGCAAACTTATTGATGGTGTTGGAGTCGTGCCTGGCCATGCAGTCATGAGTGAACAGGAAGTATAGGAGGGGACTGAGCACGCACCCCTGAGGGGCCCCTGTGTTGAGGATCAGCGTGGCGGATGTGTTGTTACCTACCCTTTCCACCTGGGGGCGGCCCGTCAGGAAGTCCAGGATCCAGTTGCAGAGGGAGGTGTTTATTCCCAGGGTCCTTAGCTTAGTGATGAGCTTTGAGGGCACTATGGTGTTGAACGCTGAGCTGTAGTCAATTAATAGCATTCTCACATAGGTGTTCCTTTTGTCCAGGTGTGAAAGGGCAGTGTGGAGCGCAAAAGAGATTGCATCATCTGTGGATCTGTTGGGGCGGGTCTAGGGTTTCTGGGATAGTGGTGTTGATGTGAGCCATGACC